CTTTAGAACGACTCCCATATATATATATATATATGTGTGTGTGTACACGACAATCAAGCAGTATCTGGTGTTTGTGCTTCGCCAGTATGCCATAGTACCGCGCTACTTGTCTGGTATCAAACGGGGCTCTGGCAACCACTCTCAAACTGGCAGAAATGTGTTTTGTTGCACCTCGCGCCTTGGAAACGACGCAGCCCCTCGTTTGAGATGCGCCGCCGTCCTTGTCAGTTTCGCCGCGTGGCAAGGTTTTCACCTGGAACTAACGGAGTGCACACCAAAGCCTCGAGCACGGGGAGCCCCGGGAAGCCGCTGAGGCAACAAGTCACATCAGCGGCCTCCCGGAGCAACCCCGCCAAGCGGCTTTGATGCGGCATCTTCGGCCTCTGCGAAAGACCACGCCGCGCGTCACGATAGCCAGCCGACGCTGCGACACAACCGCTCGGACTCACAAGCACAGACTCAGCCGCTTAAGATGAGTGAAGTTCCTTGCTCCGAGACTTTGGGGTAAGTGTTGCCACATCACTTTGCTCATGAAGAGCATGTGTAGGTCTTTGAGTGGTTCCTATATTAGCAGGAACACAAGATTGTGTAACCATTCCGAAATTTTAGAACCCAGTCATTCCTGGGGTCATTTTCTTGCTCGATCTCCGCCCCTTTCCCTGCCTAACCTTGGTCTACCAGGTTCTGTTGCTCACCCTCTCCCAAGCCGGAAAGATAAACACAAAGGATCCCCCTGACCACGTGTCTCGCGGCCAATATCCCTGCTCCAGCTGCCTCCAATCCGCCTGAAGCGAGCCTGAAAGCAGTCAGCCCCCAAGGGCGGGACTTGTTTCCCCCAGAAACGATGATTTGTAGAAAGTGATCAAATCCCATCTTAAAACCCGTAGAAATGGGCAAATCCCATTCTAAGAAGCCAATGAAACCGCGGACTTTGGTCAAATCCCAAACCGGGCAAACTCCCCTCTAAAAACAGGTCGCAAAACTCCCCCCCTAGAAACCAGTCAATTTCTTCGCTTGGCCCGCCATTCTGTAGCTCTCTGCGGCTCTGGCCGAGGCGGGCAACGCGAAGCGTTTACAATTCGCTTGCTCCCCGCGTCTTGGCAGCAACACAGCCAAGGAAAGCATGTGAGCGGTCAAAATTACGCCGTCGCCTCGTGGGTTGTTTCTGTGGGGTCCCATGTAAAGCCCCCAGGAAACTATTGAAAACTGGAAGCACTGGGCTGCGGGAATGCCAAAGTTGGCGGTCGCACAGGATCTGTTCGGCGCCCGGACTTGTTTGGTGGTTTCCGAACCCACAGGTGGTCAACCCACCAAGGGGGCAACTTGAGGGTTGGCACAAAATAGTGTAGTAGAAACAGCTGATTTATTTCTTGTTTGGGGGGTGGGGAGGTTGAGGGGTCTGCATTTGTCATGCCCCTCAAGGTAGATATTACATGATTCCCCGTTGCTACCTATCTGGGAAAGGTGGGTTCCAAACACAACTCAACTGAGAACGCCAGAACGCAAACCGAATCTCTGAGGCGCGAACGCACTCCCTGTGGACTGGAAGATGTATGTGATGGCACGCCACACCTCGCCTGGGTGGAGGCGGGCCATAAATAGAAAGTCGACAAAAACAAAGCAACTACTCCTGAGTGGATTGGACCACAAAAAGCGTTCCGAAACATATAATCCGCCTCACGGGAAGGGTGGCTACACATCTTAGAGGATCACAGCTTGGATTTCCGGCTATCCAAAATGATGTTTCACCCGTATCATCATGATGGTCATCATCGCCTTTCATCATCAGAATGGTCGTCATCATTTCATTATTTTTCTATATATACATTTCAAGTGTGCCATTAGGCAGCATTGGTAATGCAGAGGATGTTACGATGACAGTTATCCTGAGCGTCTCATCCTTATCATCATTATACACATCTCGGAGGATCAAAGCTTGGTGTTCCGGCTATCCAAAATGATGTTTTCACCCTTATATCATCACCATCCTCATGATGGTCATCATCGCCCTTCATCAACATAATAGTTGTCCTGACAGTCTTCATCCTCATCATCATTATCCGTCATCATGCTTCTCGTCATCCTCATGGTCATGACCGTGCTCATCCTTATCATCATTGTCCTCCGAGGCAGCATTGGTAATGCAGAGAGTGCTACAATGATAGTTACCATGACAGTCCTCATGCTTATCATCATTGTCTTCACGATCATCATCATCTCTTATGGGGCAGCATTGGTAATGCAGAGGATGCTACAATGATAGTTATCATTACGATCACCGTCATCATGCTTCTCGTCATCCTCATGGTCATGACCGTGCTCATCCTTATCATCATTGTCCTCCGAGGCAGCATTGGTAATGCAGAGGATGCTACGATGATAGTTACCATGACAGTCATCATCCTTATTATCATTATCCTCAGGATCATCATCATCTCTTATGAGGCAGCATTGGTAATGCAGAGGATGCTGCGATGTAGTTTCATCATCATCGTCATCCTTATCATCATCCTCGCGGTCATCATCATCACCCTGATTATCATCATGGTAGTCATCATCACCAGTGAGTGGCGGTGAAGGCGATGGGAAGAAAAAGAAGGAAAGAACAAGAAGATGAAGTGAGAGAAAGGCGCAGGACTTTTCAGTATCCTGCTTCAGATGATACTGATGCAATGGGCCAACACGGAAGCAGTCACCCGAAGGCTTTGGTGACTGCACTGCGTCGCTTTTTCATCATCATCCTGATGGTCATCATCGTCCTTCATCATCATAATGGTCTTCATCATCTCTTTCTTTTACTTTTATATATACATTTCAAGTGTGCCGTTGGGCAGCATTGGTAATGCAGATGCTGCTACGGTGATAGTTATCGTGACAGTCCTCATCCTTATCACGAGTATTATCATCCTCCTCCTTCATCATCATGGTCGTCAACATCTCTTTCATTTATCTTTCCTTTATTTTATATATGTTCAGTTAGGCACCATTGGTAATGCAGAGGATTGCAACAATGATAGTAATCCTGACAGTCCTCATCCTTATCATCATTATCGTCACGATCATTATAATCTCTTATGAGGCAGCATTGGCAATGCAGAGTATGCTACGATGATAGTTATCATCCCCGTCATCATCCTTATTATCATTATGCTCGCGACCATCCTCATCTCTTATGAGGCGGCTGCCCTTGAACATTGAGCTTTCCTCATCTTTTCTCGAATAGGAATCCACAATGGTCGGCGGGACAGGGCGGCAGCCCTTTAACAATTCGCTTCAACATGGGCTGCAAAACTTTAGGATAAAGTAGTGGATACGCATTGGGTGCGGGTTACCTGCAACTGCAAAAGCCGTCCGCCAAATTATCTGGCTCTCCAAATTTCCCCCAAAAAAGTGAGGTTTGTGCTGGTCCAAAGGCAAAAACAAGGAGGGGCCTGTATGTATGGCAAAAGCTGACTTTGCTTCCAGGGGATTGCGCTAAAAGGTGGTCAAAAGGCAAAGTGGGCCTGGGTCAGCCCGGAGGGAAGCAAAGTCTGCTGAGAAAATGAGCATGAAGAAGCTGACGCCCAGCCTTGCCAGAGGAATCAAACACCGAGCCACACAAGAAACAACAGCCCAGCCAGCCATCCAGCCAGCCAAACTATCAACCAACCAACCAACCAACCAACCAACCAACCAACCAACCAACCAACCAACCAACAAACCAACAAACCAACAAACCAACAAACCAATCAACCAACAAACCAAGCAGCCAGCCAGACAGCCAGCCAGCCAGCTAGCCGCCAGCCAGACGACCGACCGCTAGAGCTTGCCCGTATATTCACTTTGGCACACATCAGGCGATGCTCAGGCGTGCACCCATTAGGCTGCTACCACGATTCCTGGGCTTGCGAGCAACACAGACTAACTGCCGCCCCAGTTCTACTTAACTGCAGCCAAAGAATGTGAACTTCAAAGGTACAACTGTACTTCATCAGTGGATTGGTCGGAAAAGGAACGAGCATTTATGTTGGCCCCTAAGTTGATGATTCCCCCGAAATAGTATCCACAAACATACTTGTCACAAAGTATGATACTTCCCCGAAACGCATGAAGCTTAAGTACACAAGTAGGTAGACTTTTGAAACCAGGACTAAGCATAGGACGCGAGGGGAGTTTAAATCGATCTAAATCGTTCGCGGGAATTTAAGTGCCAGTTTGGGTGTCAAGCGTCACGGACGAGTAGGTGTTTTCCAAAGGGAGAAACGGAGTAAGCATTTAGTTGCACTTGTATCATGATTGTCGTCAGTGGTGCTTCAGCAAAGGGACCCCGGCCGCAACCCTGTGGCACGTGGATTGGTTGGCAATTAAACAACCGCCCAACCGCTTGGCATTGGCTCGTTCACAATATCCAGTTGACCTTGAAATTGACGCTTTGCAAAGAGCCCAACCGTGAACTAGCAATAAAAAAGGCCACCCTGGTTCTGTGGACCCCTATCCCTATAGAGTATTAACCACAATTCGTCTTTGTCCACTTCCCCTCGAATCTGGCTGACGGCGCTAAACTGGAGATGCAACCCCAAAAGCCTCAATCCCAACAATCGTGAAACCCGAACTTCTATTTTCTGTTTTGTCCTCGTCTCCACCGGGATTGTTGCCTTCAAGAGGCCAAAAGAGGCGTTAAAATTAGAAGTGTACATTGATCGTCATGTTCGGCTTCAGCGTCGTCTCAAAATAGCACCCCTGATTGCCACAACTGTGCATCAATTTGGCCAAATTGCAATAATTAGGGAATCGAAAAGAAAAGGACCTTCATCGTAGGTGAGCTTGTCTTACCCCTCTGGTGAGCCTGTCAGAAGTTGCCAATCAATGGGCAAAATGTTGGAAGCACCAAAACGAGCAGGCAACCATTGGACCAATTAAAGGAAAGCAAGCTGGCCCACGTATCGATCGGCCAAGGCGCTCCGCATTCACTGTCTTGGCGTGCGACTCGGCCGTCAGTCGCTTAGAAAGCAGACTGGATCAATATGTGTTCAAAGAAAACGCAAAGCAAACGTGGGTCATTTGTTCTCGTGGGGAAACGTCATGGAGGAAACACCATGGGTGGTTTCCCTTGAGTTTCCCGGATTCAAAACACAATTCAGTGGGTAAACCTTCAAACCACAAGCCCATTTCTCCCCAAAGTTTGTTAGTTGTTGAAGTTTGGATCGGTCATAAGATAGCCTTGAAAAGTACAGGCTATACAAGTAGATGATGCCATGTATAGCTTATACATGTGTCAACATGGGAAGACCGCACTAAACAAAAAGGGCAGTCCTTTTGAGTACACCCTCCAAACAAATCACACGTCCATGACGGAATGGCTTCAACTAGGTTCACCCCCAGAGCAAACCAAAATGATCTCCAAGGTTCGTGGCGTTCGCGTCCTTGACAAGGGCTTGGAAGCAAATCTCTTCAAGCAGTTCAGTGGCGAACATGATCGGCCAAACTTGGCTGAAATCAATTGACTGCAAGGCCAAATGGATAGGCATACTTTGAGCAATGGCCAGTTTAAGCCCCCCAGTTGCTGTTCAAATGGCTTGTTCAAAACTCAATATGCTTGTCGCTGCAGGCGCTCATGACTCAATGAAGCTGCAACCATAATTTTCACCGCTTTCACACTCACGGCGGTTTTCCAAACAAATGCCTATGAAAAGCCGAGTTGGCGCTTTCTGTCACAATCAAAGACCGGGTATCCACAGAAGGCAGATTTGCAGCATGGCTGCGAATGGAATCAACCCTCCAAGAAAACCTGGAGTTGATACGTTGGTATCCTAAATTGGGGACAACAGACAAGTCTTTTTGGGAAGCCTAGGAAAAAGCACAACCACACACACGAAAGTGAGAAAACAAACGCAATTGATCCATAGTTTTGCCAAGTCGACCACGGATGCGTGGCAAATTTACTGGAGAAAGAACCAAAGCCAGCAGCTGGTAACCCCAACAAAAGGACTCCCCACAATGGTGGTTGACAGCTTGGTTTCCCTTTCAAACAAGAAAAATGTGTTCAAACCAAGAAAAAAGGGGGAAGAAACCCGAAACTCAACTCCCAAGTTTCGGAGGCTGAGCCCCGGGCGGCCAGCTGCTGCGCCTGAATGGAAAGCTAAAACTGGTTGCCTGCCCCGCTTAAAAAAACCTGGACATTTGAGGGGGTCCAAGATTACGCGCTGTTGCCAAGGGCAAAGGCGCAAAGTTTGAGCATGTAGAATATCTATACGGGGTTTTGTGGTTGGTTCTGCCTCAAGCCAACACAAACACTCAAATAGCTAAGTGGTCCAGTCAACCCCATTCGACCTGCTAGAAACCCTTCATCGGTGGCGTAGATTTGCGGTGGTCAACATTTGCTGGTTGCGTGTCCAGTGAGTGTGTGTGTGTGTCTATGTGTATGTATGTATGTGTGTGATTGTGTGTGTCAAAATAGGGGGCGCCAAACAGCTTTACCCAACCTGTCAAGTGTTACGGGAACCCCAATCAAGTGAACCCTACAACCAAAATGGTTGAACACCCATGCACTAGTAACACCTTTTCAAATGGCTTTAACGAAAGTGTGTCAATTGAAGTGCACTAGACAAATAGTGAACACCTTGTCAAAACCATAGGCAACCTTTGAAAAATAGACGGGATTCTCTGGAACAAATGGCCGCTAAATGAATCTACACCAGTGGAACGCATCTGGGTATGTTTTAAGAAGGGACGCTTTGGTGGACATCATTTAGGTGGGGATTCATGGCTGCAACTCACTTTCGAGTTAGTTCTCTATCAAAATTCATGGCCATCTATTTCTAACCAAACTAACCTCACTTCCTGAGTGAACGACCCCAAATAAGTAACCATTTCTTTTGTGCACCGCTAACATGGTACCTAAAAAAGTGCAAAGGCCACCTGAGGAAGTGAGCAACGGATCAAAACTAGGTCCTCCAGTAGAGAGGTTAGAACAGGGTACCCTTTTTTCTGTAGTCTATTTTAGGGGAACCCTCCCCCTGAAATCGGCAACAGGGCACCACTGGGGGAAAGACTGGTCATGCCCTTTGCCAGGGGCTCCGCGCCCTCGAGGCTTCCTCCTTCTGCTGGCCCGTGAACTTGGACAGCGCCCGGATCGTGGGCTCCTGCCGGGGTCCGCCACCGGCGCGTCAAGCAAAAAACGCCACCCCCAAAGACGAGACCGGAAAAAAGCTTTGAAGTCTTATGTATCCCCTTTGCGCCTGTTTGGGTGGTGTTTCATTCACGCATTCTTTCAATACGGCATATGTTGAGTTAGTTAATTACCTTTGGAAAGCCCACTTTGGGGCAAAGGCCTGTTCCATTTGACGGACCTTGGCAAAGGAAACCTAAACATGTGCAGATGCAACTAATGCCTGGCATCTTCTCACGCCAGTCTTGGGAAAGCGCGCGAGTCCCTAAATGCCTTAGTCTTATTTTACTTTGCCTTGTTTATATAGTTGGCGTCTTGAAATGGTGGAACTTTTCCTCTTGGCTTCCATTGGAACCCCCAAAAGGGTACCGAGCCTCAAACAAAGACAAACCTATGCAAAGGAATTTGGCCTTTGAAACGATGCTGCGTTAACAAGGCGGCCCATCAAGCCAAGTATTGCTGCTAGTCTCTGTGCCGCGGGAGGGTGCCACGCCTTACGGGAGGCTTACCTAGGCCCGAGGGATGTCCGACCCGGTCCCCGTTGAGATCGATAGAATGTTAAACCCAAAGCTTTTTACCAAAAAAAGGTGCAAATTCTACCAGGGTCAACTCGACTTTCAACCATCTGGAAGGGGTAAACGGAAGGCCTGTTGCTCAAGCTGAAGCCCAGAGACATGACATAGGCAACCAAGTTGGAAGACACAAGTTAAGAAATACCTTAAGGGTCATGACATTACCCCTGCCAAGGCAAACACCTCTGAATGGCCTCCATGCGGAAAGCTGGCCCTTTAAGGGGCGTCCAAGGCAATCATTGTTGAGGGCTCAAAACGTCGGCACTTTTGGGGCAAAATTGCCAGAACGTTTGGGGCTTCCACTGGGAACTCCGAAACCGGGGGTCAGCCGGATGTGATGCATTGTGGTTGCCTCCAAAGTACCTAGGTAATATCACATGCACCCAGGACCGTCATATCCAAAAGGACTAGGGCCTGCCAGTTGTCCCAAGCAGGTACGCTCTTTTGAGACCCCTTTGAGGAAGGTGCAACCCCAAACCACCATCGCAGCATCGCTGCAGCGCTCCTCCTCCCACTGCTTCCCATTCCAGCCCTCAGCACATGCAAGCTGACGCTTCAAACTGGGATCACCCTAAACGTGATCTGAGTCTTCTCTAAAACGGGCTGCACCCCCCTATTAACCTTCCAGGGCAGAACATGAAAAGGGTGGTATATTTGCAATCTTGGAGCATGTTGGTCGTTGACAATTACACAGAACCTTAAAAGCGCTTCAAAGGACTCTCAATCGTCTGCCTGATTTCAAGACTCGGCAAACATGCCAGGGGTCATGACCCCGCAATTTCGGCAAATGCCCCATGTTCTCAAAGGGTCAGAGGAACAATGACCCCGAAACGTCCCTGCACCCCATTCGTCTAAAGGGCGTCCTGGCGGTTGCAGGTAACATGGTGCCCCAGTTTTCCTTGATTAAAAAAGCACATCCCAGACGTGGTACCTATGTCCAAGGTTCAATTTGACAATCTTGCAATACTAGTGCCAAATCGTACATGGGTTGTCAAAAGACATGTTGCGGTTTTGCTTTCGCTTCCGTTTAAAACCAGCCTTAAAAGCCGGGCATCCTCCAAAAAACACAAAAAGGCTGAGACCTCGTGGGGTGCTAAGTTTCCAGTGGCTCAACGGGCGCGCGAGTCCGTCTCTCGAGGCAGGAGCCATCCAGGTGGAGTTCACGCGATCCGGCGTGATGGCGGCGTCCTTTACCTTCGATCCACGCGAGTTTCCCGCGATCGATCCAATGCTACAGGTCAAAAGGTCGGCCTTTAGGCCATTGAGTTTACTTGGGGCGAAAAGAAAAAATCCTTTAAACAAAACAAAAGTTTTCGGGTTGCCTGCTGGTTTCCCTTCACCAAACAAAAGAGGGTTCCCCCAAAACAGATTGACAAACCCCAATGAGTTTGAACTTTATATAATTGGGGACGAAAACTGGTGGACATCAAACTTGGTGGTTGGATTCATGACTCTGCCACCACTGTCAGTTCAACATTCATCAATTCTAAGTCAGGTGCGATGAACGGGGTAGTCACTTTTGAGTGGTCTCAGAATGACTGGGTGCTGGTGGTTGCAGGATGTTTCACCTGTCAAATCGACGTGATTTGTTCCTGGACAAAAGTGAGGCGCGGGTTTCCTTTTGATTTCCCACCAACCAAAAGGAGCTTCCCTAATTCGGACAAACAGTTGCTGACTCTCATGGCTACGCTTTCAGCTGCCCTTACCTTGAAAGGGGCTCCCGATTTGGAGACACAAGGTTGTGGGTTTGTCTCATAAGGGAACCGCAACCCAGAGGTTTCCCACAACCCAATTGAATTTCTTGAGCAAGCCACAAAGGGTTCCCTCAAAACACAACACACCCATGTGGTATTTTTAGTCGGGGCGTTCGGAACGGGTCGAATTAAAATCCAAGGTGCGTAGAAGAAGACGTCCTCGTCCTTGTCCGTCTTCAAGCCATACCTGGTATCGAAATCGGTTTTGCGAGAAGATATCCAAAGGGGTGGACCACTTTGGATTGGCCAAACCATGCCCAAACAAAAGCCAAACTTGTTGTTTCCTGCTAAAATGGTTTTCACAAAGGGGATATAGTCCGGGAACACACGGAGTCAACAGATTCTCCATTTTGTCCAACCATCGTTCTCTTGAAGCAATGCAGCAAGATACATTTTCTGTTGCGACGTTGATGATGTTGGTGGCTTTTGAAAGACAGACTCCTGAAACAATGGGGTGGTAACCCTAGAATATAAATTCCATCCCAATGACCACAAACCCAATCATAGAACTGCTAGCGGGGCTTTGGAACACGAACCCCATCCTGTTGAAACTGCCGACGTCCACGGCCAGAATTCCTAAAAGGCTACTCTTTCTTCCTTCAAACGGGTCACCAAGGTCCAGACAAACCGGCATCGTCTCCAAAAGAATGTTCGTGGACGCAACCATCACAGCCCGATTGCGCAGCGAGCCTGGTGAAACAAGTCATTGGATTCCTTCTTGGGCTTGGCAACCAAGGTTTGGTGATGACTGTAGTACAGGATCCTTCTCCAACGAAAAGGAAAACCACTAGACAAGTACCATCAATCAAAGATTGTTCACATCAGCCCCAAATCACTGCCCCATGGACGTATGCATACTGCGGATCCGGTGGACATATGGTGGCCATTGACAGGACTTTCCCTTGGGGGGCAGTGACGTGCGGATGATATAAGTAAGGGGCCCAATAATTAATTGGAATGGCGTTGTGGGGTACAATCCAATTTACCTCATCAAAAGAAGTTTAGTTGGGCACTTTCCTAATACGCAAAAATGAGGTAGCAGAGTCGTGCAAAGAACGAGAGAAAGTAAGCAAGACATACGAAGAAGAAATACAATCAGATAGAGACGAAAGGAGTTGCGTGTGAACATTGCGTTTGGCAAAATCGCCGCGGGCTTGCCGCGGTCTGGAAAGTTGCCCGATGGCAGAGCCTCGCAAGGTTTCGTGAGGTTTCACTTGCGTGGCAGGCGCAGCCCTTTGGCAACTACAAAAAAAAACAAAACACTGACAGGCGCAGCATTTTGTATCCAATGGCCTCAGCACTCGTGACAGGCGCAGCACTTTGGGAAGCTGACTCGCGCGGTTTGGAAATCGTATTTTTGTGGACGCGGGAACTGTTGCGTGCCGAATCTGTGGCAGGCGCATGATTGTCGCACCCTGAATGCAGAGTTCGTGCAAGGTGCAGCACTTTCGCAAGGTCAAGCATAGATTTCGTGGCAGGCGCAGTACTTTTGCAAGGTCAAGTACAGGTTTCGTGCCAGGCGCACTTTTGCAAGGTCTGGTGCACATAGATAGATGGATAGATAGATTGATAGATTGATTGATTGACTGACTGATTGATTAGACAGACAGACAGACAGACAGACAGACAGACAGACAGACAGACAGACAGACAGACAGACAGACAGACAGACAGACAGACAGACAGACAGACAGACAAACAGACAGATAGACAGATAGACAGATAGACAGATAGACAGATAGATTAGATAGATAGATAGACAGACAGACAGACAGACAGACAGACAGATAGATAAATAGAAAGAAAGAAAGATAAATAGATTAGATAAAATGGAAAACGAGAGAGGGAGAAAGAAAGACAGAAAGAAAGAAAGAAAGAAAATAAAATAAAAGAAAAGACAATAAAAAAAATATAGAAAGAAAGACAGACATATAGAAAGAAATATAGAAAGAAAGACAGAAAGAAAGACATAAATCAATAAATATATAATGACATAGGACATCAAAAAAAGAAAGGAACGGGATAAATAAAACAAGAAACAAGAGAAATAATCGAGAGAAAGGAAGAAAGAACGAAAGAAAGAAAGAAAGAAAGAAATAACGAAATCAACAAAGACAGAGAGACAGAAATAAAGAAACCCAAACCGAGATAATGCAGGAAGAAAGCAAAGAAAGAAAGAACCAAAGAAGAACATAAATAGATAAATAACAGACTGAAAAGAACAGAAAGACAAACATAAATGAAGAAAAAAGAAAGACGGAAAGACAGAACAAGACAGAAAGGAAGAAAGAAAGAATAAAATAAAGCAAGAAAGAAAGCCGGGAGTGAGAAAGAGAAGAGACTAACAAGAGAAAGATAAGATAAAGAGAAAGAGGAAAAGAAAGCAGAAGAAAAGAGGAAGAGAAGGAAGACGAGAGACAGACAAGAGAAGAGACAATAAAGAAAAGAAAATGAAATAAAATAGAATCGAAGAGAAGATGCAGATAAAGAGAGCGAGACAGAGAGAATAAAGCAAACAGAGGAAGATAAAGAGAAAGAAAAGACAAGAAAAGAGACAGAAAAAAGAGAAAAAGAGAGATAAAAAGGATAACGAGGAAGAGAAAGAGAAAGAGGAAGAGGAAGAGAAGAGAAGACAAAGATAAAGAGGAAGAGCAAGAGAAAGAAAGAAAAGACACGAGATGCTCAGAGAAGATAAAGAAGAGAAGAGAACAGATGCTGCACGAAAATCATTCATCTCATGTGGGCACATTACTGATTATTTAGAAACTTCCGTCTTCCAGCTTTGCTGGAGCATCAAGAATGTAATTGCTCTAGGAATCAGCATCCGAATCTCAATCCCGGGAACCCCCTCAACTTTTTGTTTGGGCGGACTTCCAAATCCCCACCGTTTTGTTTGATGCCCAAGCAGTCCGAGAAAAAGTCACACCCAACCGGCTCTTGTCCTGGCCCCCATGCAGCACAGTCACGGGGCCGGCTCCCCGCGCTTCGGAGAAATCACCTGGCGCTTCACGAACGGAGGCCCATGCCACTTGGAGTGAGAAAAGAAAGGATACGTTAATCTTGCTGGTTCTCAGCAGGGAATGAGGGAATGACGCCTGTAGACCGTCCCTTGTGAATTCCTTTACGGGCCCCTGGATCCCTCAGCAAGTGATGGTTCAGTGTACCTCAACATACAAACTTGTTGTGGAGGAGATCCCATGATTGGCTCGCCATTTTCCTGCCCTTGGTTGAAGATGGAATCCACGGATGCAGATGTTAACCCACAAAGACACTTTAAAGAAATCGATGGGGGCTCCTTCTGCAAGTCTATCCATGGAGCCCGCTGATCAATACCCCGTCAACCAGACTGAAGGGAGGTCCTAGAAAACTAGTTTTCTTGAAAAGGGACCCTCTGGTAGGTTTCATGAGGGGGCTTGCTATGAATTGATCGGGAGCTGAAAATACGAATGGAATGCGTATGGGCCATGGATTTGCCTCCGCTTGACCAAATGAGTGATCTCCCTTCATGTCGAAAGCTTAGCCCTGCTCACATCAGTTTGAGACCACCAACCAAACAGAACATAAATCACGGAAACCATCGAGGAACATATGACAGACCTAAAAAAATGAAACTAATCCACCGAAGGCAAGCAAAGCTTTCAGGAAAAGCACCAATCTTGCCAGTCAAATGTAGGTGAGTAGGACCAGTTGATAGCGGACACTGGACAACAAAAGAAAGCTTTGCGCCATGGTCGTGATTCCATTACAAAGAAGCCCTGCTACTTGTTGTCTAACGCAAGGGCTTCATGAACCCTCCCAACCCCAGGTAAAGCAACTGGTGTTGCGACTGCGCGTATTCGTGTGCATGTTTTTGCCGGCACCCTTTTCACCTTGGTTTAGAAGCACCAAAAAGGACAACTCACAGCCAGGTCGGAATCCCTCGCTTCGCGCATAGCCCCATCTGCATGCGCCAAGTTTCCTCCTCGAAAACTCCCTTTCCCCGGGCTCACCCAGCGCGCGAAGCCGTCCCAGTAGAGCCATACCTCGAGCGGGGGTCAAATTCGAGCGTGCCCTTCGTTTGGCAGGGGGTATGCGCACAAAAACAACGAGCCTGATGCGTACTTCTCATGTACCCCAAAGGGCAAGCTATGTAGCAGCTATGGGTGTATTCATATATATATATATATATGTGTGTGTCCGTATGTATGTATATATATATATATAATGGATATGAGAAGGGGCCCAAGGGGCACGTATTGATCGACCTTGATAAATGGTTGTCAGCCCCGCAAGGTGGCATGGCAACTAAAGGGTATGATGCTCCCAGGGTTTACCTGTTGACCATCTGGGTTTGCCTGTTGATTTCTGAGAATGCATTCGGCACTCTTTGAGGGGGGCTGCTTTTCCAACAGCAGCGAAAACTACAGCCGGTCCAAAGACTTCATGTTGATTTGGCAGCACCTCAAAGCAATTGCCAGCGTTTGACTTGCTTGAGGAAAAAGGAACACTGGGACTACGTTCAGCTTACCTCTCATTGGTGGTGACTGGTGCAGATAAATAGCTTAGGAGACCCCCGGCCTGGCAACGGAAACCACTTCTCACAGCGCAACCTACGGCAACCCGAGGACGTGAATGGGTAGCCACAGCTCATGTAAGTCACTTTCAAAGTAGATGCTTTCTTGTCAACATCGGAAATGAGGTTTGTTGATCGCCAACTGTGGGTAATTCAGAGCTCGTGTCACATGTCCCAAGGCTGGATATGTTGACAAAACCTTCCATATGTTCGTCAAGGGTCAAAGAGGACCGCCCAAGCTTCTTGACATGCCGAGTTCATTGACCATTTAAGGCGGACCAACACCAGAAAATAACTAAGTTCTTGGCTGAAGAGAAGCGCTCCATCTATATGTTTAAACATTCAATCACTATGTCCCCCAAGTGCTCCATATACGTTTCTTTTTCATGCAACCAGAAAGTGACCTCTACAGCAGCTGCTACGTGACGGCCTGGCGGGCAGATGGACTCTGCTCCCCCCAAAAAAGGAAAAGGCCTTAGCAAGGCCCATAGTCAGGCGTGGAGTTGCAATCCTGTGACATTGGTGTTTGGGTGTTTCCAAGCATAGGCATCAAAGCGGTAAGGATGATCACCTATGACAACCAACATGAACCCCCAAACATGTCAGCCGGTTCCTTCTGCTTTTCCTGGAAACACCAACCAAAACAGAACCGACAGCCCCACATACACGGTGATCGAAACGCCTGCGGGTCCTGGTAGGTATCTTTGTGCTGTTTGCCAACCACCCCCAACCCCCCCCCCCCCCTCTAGTTACGCGATCCGTGACAATCCGTACTGGGTGTTCAACTCTTGTCAAGTAAGTGGGTTATTATCATGTCTATCATAACAAGGCTTTATCCTACTTGCCTGATGTGAGTTGAACATCCAAGTCTCCCCTACATACATTGCTTTGCAAACACAAAAGGAATACGTGTATGAAAGGGTTTTGGGAAGACCCGCGTGAATTACAATGGGCATGAAAATGCAAGTAGCAGTTGACCATTCCCCAACCGCTCCAAAAAGATTGTCTTCAGAGACCACATAAGGAGCCTTACCCTCTTCCAACACTCAGTTGCCCAAAGGACCCAGAAATACAAGGTTAACCTTTTGGGGCCATCCACTAAAAGGTCAACAGGTCGGCCTTGGGCAAGTGAGAGCGGTGCTCGGAACGCCCAGATGAACTCTCAGCAAAGTGATAAGGGTTCACAGCCTTAGGGTTAACTGCGGGGTTACCCACTTCGAATGGGAAAGGACAGACTCATTCCGGCCCTTGCGACACAACTTTCCGAGCATCTCGAGCCTTGCTTGACCATTGCGGGGCTGTCGACTGGGGTTCCACACCGGGAAGTAGTCGCCGGTCCCGTCGTTCAACATCCACTTGTCTTTGTTGGCATGAGCCTGCGCTGGGGATGGGTCGTCGCTCTGCAAGTTGAATTCTGAATGGGTAGTCTCAAAATATGGTGTTTCTGTTGGTCTCCCCAAACAAACTCAAATAGCCAAGTGGTCAGTCGCCTCCAGTCACCCCTCGTTTCACCCCTTGTAAACCCTGCAGCTAGGGATAAGCCTGTGGCTAACTCCATGGCCATCGAAGCCCCCAACTCCCTCCCCAGAAGCCATGACTCACACTCAAGCCACCCCAAAGGCTCCACAAGTCTGTAAGCCCTCCGATGCTTTCGGTATTTCTTCGTGGGCAAAAAAATGCGGGGCACTTTTGTGAGGCGGTTTTTCCCCCTTGTATAAGCGGTATTTGTTTAACCTCCATACCTCCAAAGCCCATACCTGAAAATGCCCTGCAATGAAATTTACCGTCGACTGGGTGCACTTGCAATGTCTAGGGAACCAATCGGCCGTCGTACCTTTTCTGAGGTGTCTACCATACCCCTCCTGGCCCGAAGACTTGCTGTCCTTGCAGCACGTATTCAAGGAAACGTGGTGGAGAAACAACGCCCGTGCAAGTTGCACTGGTTGTTCACCCTTACATGAAGTCTCAATGACCCTTTAAACCATGTGTTTTCTTTGAGCATATGATCCCCATTTCAAAAGGATCAGAAGTAGACTCCCCTTAGATCAACCCTTACTGCCAAGCAAAAGCGGTACCTTCAAACCCATGTTAGGAATCTCGGCGCTCCTAACCTTTTGCTTCCCCCTTTCCCCGGAGCCTTGAAAGCGAACCTGTTGAGGGGCTCTCAAATATACTTTTGGTTCATACCAACTTTCTGCCCATGTGGTTCGGCAATCATTTCATATAGTTGTTGATCCAAGTAACACTTTCAGTGGACTTTTAGTGGGAAGTCCAAAAGTCAAAGGAGTCGTACGGCTGAGAACCGCTAAGTTAATGGCTTAGAGCTAATTGGGTGCCACATTTAGATGTAGAAAAACGGGGGCTATGCGAGCAGATTTTCACAAGTGCACTCTGGGAAGGGGTTTGCGGGAGTAAATTTATGTGTTTTTGGTGGGTTTTGCGTAAATCGCAGTTCTAATTACTTTTTCAGGGCGGTCGTTGGTAAAGATGTGAATTTAGCACGGAAACTGCAACAAAACACTGTGCCTTACGAGGTTGTTTGACCCTGGTTTCTGACCATGGTGGTGCTTGGGGCTGATAAACTGCTTTTTTGGGACCTCTGAAATGTCTTTCTCAACTTCTACTCGATTTCGAGCTGAATTCAAACAGACTTGAATAGGGACAGAATCCAATCATCATGTCTATTTCAACATGGGATTTTATTCAGAATTATTCTATTTCAAATCAAATTCCGCACATGAGCTCCGTTCCAATAGAATTTGCTTTACACATCAGGTAACATGCCAACACATTGAACAAGTGCAGTTTCTTTCCAACATAATTTACTTTACAAATCAGTTAACATGTTAACACTATCCAACATCCCCAGCCAGCATCCCTCGTATCCCTGCATCACATGAAACAGGTGCTCACAAGTAACTTGAGCACAACTGTCTGCAAACTTTACTCCGCGCTTGTCCCCCCCAACCCCCTCACCCCCCACTATTTAAACCCCAACGTCTATCAACCTAAAGGTCGTTTGCTGCCACTCGACAATATGTCCAAAACCTGAAAGAAGAGTCCCAAGTAAGTAAAGAACCTGCCAGCTTTTCGCTCAAACTACCCTCTGAGTTGGGGGAATCGTTCAAAGCCCATCTGTTCTTTTTGTATAGTCCCTCCCAAACGAACATAAACAAATCAGGAAATTTGACCGAAACTCAAATCGACCCACGGCCTCTAGTTTGCGCAATTCGGGATAAGCAATTGTGCCATCCCTTGCCCAACCGTGAATGAACACCGGTTTCCCTCAAGCTTCCCCATTTCAAAACTGGTACTACAAGGGCCCGAATCATTTGAATAAGGTTGTGGGGTACTTCAACCCCAAACTTATTCATGATGATAGGACTAAACTATTAGTAACCATCAAGCCTCTTATAATAACATCCTCCATTTGGCCATGGGTCAAAAACCCGTACCCCCAGTGAACATCCCAATCCCCTCTAAAATTGTCTAAAATGGGTGGTGCACCCAACATGGTACCATTGGTTTTGACCCACAGCCATTTGAGTCCCCGTGCCCATGGCCTTGCAGTAGATGCTCAAGGGAAAGTCCTCGTCCTTGGCGCTCACGTTCCCCGCCGTCCAGGGCATCAACTGCTCCTTGCGGTTGAAAACGTCGTAGTCCTCCGTCTTCCTCGAGGGAAAGATGGGTTCCATCACCCGAAACACCGGCGCTCGAAAGAAACACTTGATATCCTTTGTGTAGCGGCTGTGTGGTATATCCCAAGACATCGAAAGGGACAATGGGTTCCAATACCCACCGGCGCTCCGGAGAAAAACTTCATACCCTTTGTGTAGCGGCTGTGTGGTGTATCCCAAGACATCGAAAGGGACAATGGGTTCCAATATCCCACCGGCGCTCAGGAGAAAAACTTGATATCCTTTGTGTAGCGGCTGTGTGGTATATCCCAAGACATCGAAAGGGACAATGGGTTCCAATATCCCACCGGCGCTCAGGAGAAAAGCTTGATATCCTTTGTGTAGCGTCTGTGTGGTATATCCCAAGACATCGAAAGGGACAATGGGTTCCAATATCCCACCGGCGCTCAGGAGAAAAACTTGACATCCTTTGTGTAGCGGCTGTGTGGTATATCCCAAGACATCGAAAGGGACAATGGGTTCCAATATCCCACGGGCGCTCAGGAGAAAAACTTGATATCCTTTGTGTAGCGGCTGTGTGGTATATCCCAAGACATCGAAAGGGACAATGGGACCGGCGCTCAGGAGAAAAACTTGATATCCTTTGTGTAAGGGCTGTGTGGTATATCCCAAGACATCGAAAGGGACAATGGGTTCCAATATCCCACCGGGGCTCAGGAGACAAAACTTGATATCCTTTGTGTAGCGGCTGTGTGGTATATCCCAAGACATCGAAAGGCACAATACGCTCCAATATCCCACCGGCGCTCAGGAGAAAAACTATCGGCTGTGTGGTATATCCCAAGACATCGGGATTGACAATGGGTTCCAATATCCTACCGGCGCTCAGGAGAAAAACTTGGTATCCTTTGTGTAGCGGCTGTGTGGTATATCCCAAGACATCGAAAGGGACAATGGGTTCCAATATCCCACCGGCGCTCAGGAGAAAAACTTGATGTCCTTTGTGTAGCGGCTGTGTGGTATATCCCAAGACATCGAAAGGGACAATGGGTTCCAATATCCCACCGGCGCTCAGGAGAAAAACTTGATATCCTTTGTGTAGCGGCTGTGTGGTATATCCCAAGACATCGAAAGGGACAATGGGCTTCAATATCCCACTGGCGCTCAGGAGAAGCGGCTGTGTGGTATATCCCAAGACATCGAAAGGGACAATGGGTTCCAATATCCCGGAGCCCCAAACCGAGAAAAGGCGGTACCCTTCAGCTCGTGGCTGGTGTGCGGGTGGTTTTGCGGTAGTGGAAACCATCTTAGAAAGGCGCTATGAAGACGCATCTATCGGGGAGGTCGCAAATTACTGCCCTGATGTGGGGTGAAATAGCAATTGCCGAGCTGAACATATTATGCGGGTTGTTCTAAACCTAACCTTACAAAGATAATCCCTCAAGATGAAAGACCAGAATACTCCCACCTGAAATAAGGGTCCCTATGAATGCGAGAAACGGCGACTGAGTGGTGTCCAAGCCAGCAAAAAGAGAGACTCGCTTTGACCAAGTCTCTTCCCGTTCATGAAGCCGGCAACGGCACTGGCCCAACCGTCGCTGTACTCGATCTTCGTCTGGACAGGGGTCCCAGTGGGCAAAAAGCCCTGAGCTTCACCGCACATGGACCAAAACTGGATGACTAAACACCCTCTCCGAAAAGAAGGACACATGCACCACTGGAGGTCTCGGAGGACAGGCCATGTTTTCCAGGCAATACACCATTGAATGGCAATTTCAGGTATGGGTGGAGGGATAGCTGGAAAGGCAGTATATAATTTCCTCTTGTGTAAGTGATATATAACCTCCATGCCTCCAAAACCCATCTGAAAATGCCCTTTACCCATGGGCTATCATGGAATGGCCGGATCAACTCAAGCTCCAGCCCCGAAATTGAATTCCTCAGCTAGCGAAAGTCAGGCTGAATATGGATCCCTAAAATTATTGGAAACCATTTTTTATGGTCTTGTTTTGGCTTCCCTTTCAACACCATCCAAGTGGTTTGGACACTCCCACATGGAGGCCCAACAAGAAAAGGCGGTTTGCGGACGCTTTCCTTTTCGAAACAAGTGCAACAAGTGTACCTTCAACAAAAAGTAGGCCCTACGAAACTCACACTGCCAAGAATAACTAAGTTATAAGGAAAGCTGGAATCGCCAAGTCCACTTACTCCAAAACAAGTTGGACAAAGCAATCAATAGAGTCTGGACTTGTGTGCTTTCCGCACTAATTTATGACAACAGGCTCTCCCCCAATTCGAAGCTTCAACCTATGCTTAAATCTGTTTTGAGGAGGCTCAAGACACCCCGGCAACTCAAGGAACACCGTCGGTTCCTATGACTGAGGTGAGAACCACAGGGAAACCACCCACGTACAAGCTGCGAAGCAACGAACGGAGTTTCGGTTGTCTCAGCTGCTGTCCAACAGGGTTCCTTGTCTGTGTGTCTCCCAACAAAAACAAAACAACTAACCCTACCGACCGGGAAACTCGTCAACTTTGGCAAAAATGATGCTTGAACCACCCAAAACACATTGCTCCCTTTGATGCCCTTTGGCTACCTCAGCTGTTGCAGAGTCCCAAACCATGTTTGATCATGGTCCACATGTGGTGAACCTTACAATTGAAACTGCCCTCCCATCAACTAACATGAATCCTGACTTGGGGGTCCTGGAACACAATCTTCCCTTGAAGGAACAATGTCTCTGGTGAGTTCCTTGTAATTTGATGGGACAGTAAAAGTGACAAAACAATATCCACATTTGTCAACAATCCTTAAACAACAAACCACCAACACAAGTGATGCCCGGAGGGCAACTAAACAGGTGAGCTCGTCAAGGGAATGCCAACAGACTGTCGCTTTCCTTTTCGCTTCCCTTTTAAACACTCCCAAAACAGGGCTCCATGAAAAACCTGCAGTTGCTGAAGTCCCCCCCAAAAAAAAACAAGAAACAAAATCCAGTAGTGACAGATTCCCAATAAAACCAACCAGCGAAACCCCCAAAAAGGGCATTCTCAAGAACATGGGAGCTTCCCAGATCCCCGAAGCGCACCAAGCAGCGTCCCCTCGCCTCGAGGCGCTCGTAGAACTTGGCCGCCTCAGCTCCCTCGGCCTGGGGCAAATGAGCGGCCAAGACGCCAAATCGGTTTGGAGTTTTTTTGTTTGGACGAAGACAAAGTTTAGGTTGCAGGGAGGTAATACCAGGTGACCAAGAGACAGGTTGGTTGGCAGGGGAGTAATACCAGGTTTGGTGTTCAAAATCGAGGCTTGTCCGATTTTCCAGAACTATAGGGAAGCCACAAAGGGGGCTGGTTCCGGGCGTAACCCAAGGTAAGGTTTAAGGAGAACAATCGAACAGCCAAGTTTTGAAAGAATCTATCCCCCTCTGGTTCCCTTGTGGGGAAGTCGACATTTGTTTGGGCTATTTGGTGTCAAACATGGAGAAATCAGTCAGGGTAAAAATGGTCAGTTTCATGGAATTGTCTGGCAAAAAATGTCCCATCACCTGTTGGTTTCCCGGGGACAAAACATACAGTGCATTAGACCTGCAGGGGGGGCTATGGAAAGACCAACAAACATGGTGTACTGGCCTTCCCCAAAAAAAGTCGTCTTTATCCCTGCTGCCTCACAGAGGAGGGGGCGGTCTTTCGCAAAAAGGAAGCATAGAACCATAATGGAATTCTAAGAGTCACCCCCCTCGACAATTTCATTGCTAAGAGGGTGGGGATTCGCCTTCCAAAACTCTGCTTTGACCTTCCACATTTGTTGACGAGAGAGGAGTCGGACATCCGGGAATACACACAAACAAAATACGCACACAACCCACAAATTCGCGGCACACCAAACACATACAGGGAGCCTACACACCAACCCCGCCAACTGTGAAGCCCTTGTTTGACAACCTATCTCGCCTCCTAACCTGTGGAGTTTGGAGGTTCTTGAGGGGATTGTCGGGTCCCTGAGGTTTGTTTGTGTATAACCCGGCGGCATGCACGTTGCTCCTGCCAACCAGTTTGCAAGGGACATAATGTATGTATATTATATTGTAATATATGTATATATAAATATGTACATTATTTTTGTATATGATTGGAGCACGATGCTAAGGGACAAGTTGTTATTGTCCTTGATCATGACTCTGCACCCCCATACCAAAAGAGAAACCGGGACAAATACAACGCCGCCACACAGTTGTCCCCAAAGTATGACGTTCAAGTTTGGAGCCGATCATCACCCGCAGCGCAAAGGTAAGCCCTTGCCTTGAAGACGAGCCGAGCGTTCACATAGGCTGGCAGCTCCTGCGAAGGAAACTGCATTTGTTGGTCAAGCAGCAAAATAGAATGTAACAACCCTGGCAACCAAATGTGCGGGCAGCGTTTGGGGAGTATGCGGAAAGAGGGACACAAAGCACAAATACTTCACTAACAGCTCTCCCCAGTAGAGCTACACTGGGGGCAAAACCCGACTTTTCCAAGAAGCCTCAATCAAAAAGCAAAGGTTGCGGGTCCCCGAGTTTCATCTGGTCTGCCCAATGAAAATTATGGGTGTCACGCCCAGGTTCATTCTGTGCTGCAGGCATGTCAAATCAATGAGCACTTGCCAGGCCGGGCAAGTCAAAGGTGGGAAACGAGCTCCAACCAAATGAGACCTTTAAACAAAAAGGCACAACACCAATACATACTCTACCCATATATTGTCAGCAACAACACCTTGTTCAAGGATATATCTGTGTCTGTGTGTGTCACATCTAAAACTGCTGGTTTCCATTCAGTTTCCCTTTGAAAGACTCCAAGAGAGGGTACCCATATGAGCCAGTCACAACAATGACGTATCAACCAAGTGCTACGTATGGTGTGTCTGTGTACCAGGGAACACCACTAAACACAATGACATATTGATGTGTGTGTGTGCTTGTGTGTTTCCGTGTGTGTTTCTGATTGTTTCCGTGTGGGAAACCGTGTGTGTTTCCGTGTGTGTGTGTGTTTCCATGTGTTTTCGTAGGTGTTTCCGTGTGTGTTTCCGTGTGTGTGTGTGTGTGTGTCTGTGTGTTTCTGTGTGTGTTTCTGTGTGTGTTTCTGTGTGTGTGTGTCTGTGTGTTTGTGTTTGTGTGTGTGTCTGTGTCTGTGTCTGTGTCTCTGTGTTTGTGTCTGTGTGTTTGTGTGTGTACGGATGTCTGTTTGTTTGCTTGCTTGCTTGTTCGTTCGTTCGATTCTTCGCTTGCTTGCTGGCTGGCTTGCTTGCTTGCTTGCTTGTTTGTTTGTTTGCTTGTTTGTTTGTTTGTTTGTTTGTTTGTTTGATTGTTTGATTGTTTGATTGTGTGATTGATTGTTTGTTTGCTTGTTTGTTTGTTTGTTTGTGTGTGTACATGTGTCTGTTTGTGTGCTTGCTTGCTTGCTTGCTTGCTTGCTTGCTTGCTTGCTTGCTTGCTTGCTTGCTTGTTTGTTTGTTTGCTTGCTTGCTTGCTTGCTTGCTTGCTTGTTTGTTTGTTTGTTTGTTTGTGTGTTTCATTGTTTGTTTGCTTGTTTGTTTGTTTGTTTGTTTGTGTTTGTGTTTGTGTTTGTTTGTTTGTTTGTTTGTTTGTTTGTTGGTTGGTTTGTTTCTTTGTTTCTTTGATTATTTGTTTCTTTGTTTGTTTGTTTGTTTGTTTACTTGTTTGCTTGTTTGTTTGTTTGCTTGCTTGCTTGTTTGTTTGTCTGTTTGTTTGTTTGGTTGTTTGTTTGTTTGATTGTTTGATTGTTTGTGTGTGTGTTGTGCTGTGTGTTGCTATTTTGTTGTTGTTTTGCTGTTTTGTTGTGTCGTGTTGGTGTTTTGTTGTGTTGCTTTGTGTGTTTGCTTGCTTGCTTGCTTTCTTGCTTGCTTGCTTGCTTCTTTGCTTGTTTGCTTGTTTGTTCGTTTGTTCACTTGTTCGTTTGTTCACTTGTTCGATTGTTCACTTGTTCATTCCTTTGTTCGTGTGGGTATGTTTTTGTGGGTGTGCTTTTGTGTGTGTGTGTGCGTTTGCTTCTGAGGGTACCCGTTGGAAAACGGAAAACCAAAACGCAACCAACCATTGTGGGGTCCCCCTGCTTTGATGCATACCCATGTAGACGCTTGGTAGCTGGAACCCCTTCTTCCGCTTTCCAAAGTCCTCCAAAGGTTGGCGGGCAAGCCAGAAACGCACCCTTGTTTGGGGTTGGGGAAGCAAAGGGGCCGAACTCCCGTTCAAAGAAGGGAGGGTTTTAGAAAACCGTCCCCTTGAAACGGCTCACTCAACGGCTTGTCCACTTCCAAGACCCAAACCTCCAGCACCCTCTGGTGGCCAAGGAAGAAATGACCGCACGCTTTGGAGACAAAAGGCCATCACTGGAGGTCTGGGCCTATTTGCGGTTCCCTTTACCCACTGAAATCATAAGATTCAAATCTATCCCCCTCCCCTACCTCCCACCCCCATTTCCCCTGTTGTGAAAAAAGTATGTACGTTCACAAGAAAACTTGCTTCAGAACAATCCACAACCTTTCCACAGAACCGCAGGTAGAGGGCCCTCTGGAAATGTGGTCCCTGGCAAGACTTCCAAGCAACATGGCCTTTTTATACAGTTTTAAGTCCAGGAACTCAGGAAGTGAGTAACATATTTTCGCCCCAACGTTTCAGGCATTAGGAAGCGAGACACCACCTCTTCGTTACCCGCCTCGCGGGAGCTCAGCTGTTCCCGGAAGAAGGTGATGTCCCGGAACTGCTCGCACTTCATCCGAATCTCAGCGGAGCTTTGCGCGGAAACCAAAAGAGAAAACTGCGCGGTGGGTTTTGGTGAGAAATAACCAGCAGCCTAGAGGTCGTGGTCGGCCGGCCGGGATGCATCTGTAAGTGTCAATAGAACAAGGGAACCCTTGAAACTGAACGGTTTGCAGGGGTGCGGAGTTCTGATAAGGCTCTTCTTATAGGAGGCTTTCTACCCGGCACCTGTCTAACTGTCTGGTGTTTCGGCCGGACAGTTCGACATGCTTTCTCCCCTGGGCAGCTGGGTAAACGAAAAGGACTCGGCCTCTTCTGTTCGCGGATTTAAACAGCATTCTCCGCCACAGCCCAAACAACAAAAGGAAAAAAGGCCACTACTATGCAACTCGTGCTGGATCAATTTTAAGAGAAACCCACCAACAAAGAACTGGACTGTACCTTGGGGCGCATTGTTGCTTTGCACTGCTCTCAGCGCCGTGCGAGCGGGACATCCTGCATGGTGTTGGTGATGATGCCGCAGATGTGGGGAGAGATCGCATCTGGGCGCCTCAGAAAGCGATCATACGCAAGGCGAACCAACCCAGATCCCAATGGTTGCGCAACTCTAGCAGGCAACCACTTGGACTTTGGCCTTGCTGTTTTGCATGGTGGTGTCCCCTGGTTACCGACTCTGGTGGTATCTGCCAAATCATGAAAGATTCAAACAACTGCATCCCACCAAAAGATAAAGCGAACACGCCTCCTAGGTCTTAGCAACACTTTTTCGGATTCGGAAAGTGAACTGTCATGTCGGGACTGAACATGCAACCCAACTTTTTGAAACTGCTTCAGGTCGGTCTTAATAGTACACCGAGGGTTGGTTGGTGGCAGAACCCCACTCAGGTATTTGAAAGCGCCGGGGGGGGGGGGGCGCCGCCAAAAACAGTGAAGTGGTGAGGAGGATACCCAACGCATCTGAGCCCGGAAAGTTCACTTTGGGACACAACCAGTTCCGTACGCCTGGAACGAACAAAGACCATCAGCAAAGCAAGGGCCGACAAACAGCGAAACAAACAAATCACAAAACAACACACGCACACACACACACACAAAAGAAACGCAACAATCCACTAAAAAGGCAAGCATAAGAAAGGTGTGTATATTTGCGTATATTGGAGCAACGTATATCTATATATGTAAATACATATTAGTATATATATATGCATATGAACTGCGGAAAATACTTGAAACATGGTTGAAAGATCGGGTGTTCCCACCTCTTGCTCCAAGCCTGCACCCGTTTGGACTCATTGACTGCGTTTTCCAACGCAGCATGTGTGTGTGTGTGTGTGATCTCAACCAACTATATGGCCTAGCCCTATCTCGTGTTGGTGTGTTCCTGCGTTGTTCTGCACCTAAGTCTAATTCACTATGTTACCCAAAACATGCTTCCGCCTGGCCTTTACTCTTCTGTATATAAAGGTAGAGCTAATATGTGTGTATATATATGTATGCTTTCAAATACATAGTTGCACATATGAAACGACAAGGGCGCTGGCAGACTGATAAAGACCGTTCCGCTTTTTGGGGAAGCAGTCGATCGTCGGTGAGTTCAAGGCCCGGGCCAGACCTTGTTGGGCTTCAGGTGGTCCGCCACAATCTCAGCGCGCTCAAGTGAGAAGCGGCAACCAGCCATTTAGTCTTGAAGGGTGGCACGATTGACTCCGGTGGCTCAAAAGTCACAACCAACTGAGCCATGGTCGAACCTGCAAAAGAACATGGGTTCCATAGGCAGTGATATCACGTCCCGAAAGTGGGCCAAACCGTGGTGCACCTGGTAACCTGGGAAATTCCCTTCATATGGAGCTATAAATTGCAAGAGTTGGAACCACCTCAGTGGTTGGCGGACATGGCTGCCCACCTAAATGATGTCCTCCAAAGGGTCCCCTATCAAAATTCACCCCTGGAATCACTCGCCTGATGAGCGGCAGCGGTTTTGTTGAGGGGCGAAGCCCAGTGGCTTCCCGTTGCCATCCTTGCCGACATTCCCTTGCTTTCCTGATGAGAACCCAGGATTCCACCCCTGGAATATGTTCATGTGTCCCAAGGCGGAACAACTATCTAAATTAGCGCACCAGGTTGATGAAAAATGGGATGACATGATACAGTTAAACGGGTATGTCTCAAGATGGGGGGGCGCCTTGAACATGCATTTCGATGCCCCTTTGGTTTCGCTTTCAGAAAGCCCAACCAAGGGTTCCTCCAAAACACGCACTCGTACAAATGAATCCTGTGGTCAACCCCCCCTTTTGGGGTTGTAAGGTTAATCATAACAACAATTGGAATGGCTAAGGCAACCACAGGAAGTCTTGGCCGACCCGGTGGATCCACTGGGCTTTTGGTCCCTCTCTTCGCTCGGACCCCCCGGCCACGTAGTGGAGGATGGACTTGGCGCCCCGGGACTGCGCCTACGGAAGCGCCCGAAGGTCGAAATGGTTTTCCCAAGCGGCTATAGGTGGCTGCCTTTTTTGGGGACCCCAATTTGGCGGTTTCCTGTTGGTTTCCCTTAGACCAAGAAAAGTGTTGCTCTCAAAGAAAGATACCCAGATAAGGATCCCGGCCCCAAGACCTCGAATTCGAATTCGGCCGGCAAAATACGGTGATGGCACAATTAAGTCTCTGTGGGAGATTGGCTCATTTGGGTAAGCCGTCTTTTTGGTGATTTAGTAGTCCATCTGAGCTCCTCCCACAGAAGGTTGAACTTGACCGTTGCTCATTCCTCTTGTTGTATGGGTAGGTCCCTACCCGGGAGGTAGTCCCTTCGTCCCAAACACCACGTGTGAGTTCCCCGTGTCAGGCAAACATAGCAGGATGGCTTTTTGATTTCACATGAGCCCATGGTGAGGCCAAACAAATTTGGATGGTTTGGTGTGACTGGATCCACTAGACATCTCATATCATAGAACCGCCAAATGGGTGGTGTCCTCTAGGTTTCCCTCAAAACAACACCCAAAAAAGGTTGTTGTAGCCGCAGGAACCGCAATCACCGGGAAGCCCTCGTCCTGGCCAAATCACGTGCCCTTTGATTGGCCGAACCTGGGCTCAGTCGACAAAATCCCAGTCTGGGCCCCTGAAACGGATTAGCGTGGCTTTCTGAGATACCAACTGGCAACCGAAGACCCATTTTCCAGGGACGCTTGAGGAAGCAAAAGGAAACCAATGGAACCCTTAAAGATCTCTTGTAGGGGGGGGAATGAGTGGCTCTTTTTTTTGGTATCCCCTTTTTTTCTATGTCACCTACCAAAAGGAACCGGCCATGAATTGTGTTCGGCCCCTCCTAATTCGCAGGCCATGAATTGTGTTCGGCCTCCCTTGCCCCCTGCAAACAAAACAACTGGAGATGCCAACCACAAGTCTACAGGTTTGGGTTTGCTTTGCCAGGCCTTCTTAAAGGTTTTGAGCTGCTCCAGCAAGGTGGCCTCAAACTTCCCTTCCTCTGTCTCCTCATCGGCTCGACTGGGAGTCAATCCACCCGAGCATTTGCTTTTCTCCCCAAGAGGACATGGGACAAGAGGTGGTCATCCGAAGAGGTAAGCTGGTTCTTTCATCGAACGTAAACCTTTCCCCCCAGCTTACCATGTTGCCGTCTTGCCGGTGCCATGGCCAAACTTCAAGATTGCTGCCCCTGGCACGCCTGGCTTCAGTCAAACTCCGCCATGTGGCTTAGGGATCTCGGATCAATTTGTTGGGCAAAAAGCTTGATGTTTTTGCCACGCCCTGGATTCATCTCAGCAACGGGGTCCATTAGCCGGAGCCGTTTGGTAAGGTGCCTATAACAGTTCACAGGGGCTTCCAAACTTACAGGGCTCGTTATAAAGGTCTATATGAGCCCCATGATGACCCAACACCAGGAAGCAGTGCTCTGAACCAAAGTGGTGTTGGACAAGAGGTTGACCCTTCATTGGTTGGACTCTGGCGTCCCTTCCTGCATGGAAGCATTGCATTAAACCCCATCGGTATCACGTATACACTTGGTAGAACTCATTTTCCTAAAGAGGCGAATTGTGATGTTGGGCGCTTCCCGAGCAACCAATTCAAGAGGTCCGAGGCTGACGGTTTGGGCCTGGACATTCTCGAGGGATAAGCTCACTTGCTGTTGGTAGGGAATGGGACATATGAACCCAGATGATTTAGTGAACGCGTATATGCACCCACGCCCAAAGGTTCATGGGTCTGGAAAGTTTCAAAATATATCACAAGGTGGTGTTCTTGAAACAAAACATATTATGGTTTGCTTGCGTCCCGTTGGTCGTGAGAAATCAGCTGCCACAGGGGCCCAGTGCCAAACGGGGAGAGCCCGCACAAAGAAGTGGTGTCCTTCTAGTTTCCGTTTCAGCTAATTAAAAACAAAGTACCGAGCCTCAAACAAACTATTTGCACTTACCCTTGCACCTACACTTCTATTCACAAACAACGCACACTCACACAAACGCACCTCGCAATATTTCAATCATGGATGCCAACGCGGCCGGTCCTCTTTGTGAGTGATCCTGAAACGTCTCTGGCCTCGCCAGCGCTCCTGGATCCTGGCTCTGCTCCCGATGTGTCAAACTCACCCCTCGGCCAGATGCCCAAAGGCGCCAGAAATAAAAGGTTGAAGCTATTGGGCCATGACTAAAACTGGACCACGGCGAAACTCAGAGGTCAAAAGGGCCGCTGGCAAGTGAGCCCCAAATGACTTTTGCATAGGACACTGCCATTGGACGGACATCTGGCACTTGCGAGGGAAAACGCTTGCATCACAAAAGCAGACCCTGTCCTTGCACCCCCCGCCCCTTCCCAAACAAAAACATGTACAGTTAGAATTAATTGAATGCAACGTGCCGAAAGCCCAGCTCACCTTTCCCAACAAAGCTGCCTAGCTAGCTTTCCGGTTCCCTTTCAACATTTCCTCAATTTAGATTGGTGAACGAGTAATACTGGCTCAGAGCCATAGCAAGGGGAACATCGTAGCCTAACTTAGAGGGTCCAAGATAGGCAACCGAAAAGGTGATGTTTTTAAGCTCGGATCGCCTGGGAACCCTGAATGACTGAACCGCATCTGACCTAAGGCTGTGCAGCCGTTGGTCACGTTGACCTGAAAAAACCCCAGCCTTCCTGGGCGTATCTGATTAAGCTAAACACATATCAGCGCCCAAGCATATTTAAGGGAGGGTGGACAAAATCCAGCACCAGTTACTCTTCATAGATGGCTTAACCCCGCATTCATTTGGTTTCATCCATCCCAACTGGCGCAGGATTTTGTCCATCCACAGTCATACCCTCCCACTGAGATAGCACCTGACAGGGTTCCCTTTAAGAAATTGGCCTCCTTCCCAGTGCTCTGGTGGAAGGGGGGGTATGTATCATACCCTTGCTCAATTGCAACCAGGCCTGCGGAGAAAAGAAAAAAACACAGCTGATCATGTTTCGAATTACGAAGACAGAACACGGTTTAAGAATAAACGCCAGAACGGAGTAATTGTCCGCACAGTGAGATCTTAGGGTGGTGCAAGCAGACCTCACGCATTCCAAATTATGCGGGGCAGCAGTGCTTTTGCAAGACCCCCATCTCAGCCCCGACAGATGCAAAAACACAAGAGGAGCTGTGGAAATGGCGGTTTTCAAAATAAAAGAGAATCAATTCTCGCAGGTGCAAATCAAATGATAACATGTTTGTTTTTTTTGCGCGGTCGAACCCAAAAACCGGTCCCCGAGTTTAAGACACAGCCGTACTTTCACTCTTGGGCTCCAATGGCTCTCTGAGAAGGATGTGGGGTGTGTCTTTTCGATGCTACCATTGCTACCTGGTTTTCTGGCTTTGAAGGGAAACCAAGAGGAAAAACACTTGTTTTTGTTGGGCCGCGGGTTCCCAAAAAAGGAAACACAAAAACACACACACACACACACACGAAGGAAACATCATACCAGAAACTCCACGTCGAATCTGCGGGAAGGCGCGGGCCCTCGCCTGTAATTCTCGATGGGAGCATTGCTTTTCTGGCGCGGGAAGAGCTTCGGATATGCTTCGCAAGACCTGCCTACCCGAAACCCAAAGAAGAAAAACATGTAGGGTGGCCCCAAAAGAACTCTATGGCAATTTTCCCAATTTGGTGGGAATGTCATGTCTTGGTGTCAGTTTCTGGTCACGCAAAGCACCTTTCGATCCACCCCATGTGTTGTGTGATGGACGTGGGTACGAGCAAATATATTCCGGAGCGTTGGCCACGGACATTGAGACATGTCACGAGTTGCGCGCTCATGCGGCCAATCCATGCGAATGAGGATCATGGCTCATGGGCTTCACCGAACGCAGAGAGACTCTGCCACTCTGTCCCGTGTAAATCATCTTCACATTGGTACTGCGGCTTCTCTTGTCAAGGTCCAGGTGGTTCTTGGATGTATCGGCTCATTTCTTTTGGACTTGGAAGTCTTGGGTGCCAAATGATCTGAATGTCAGACTTGGGTTGAGGTGTATTGCTTTTTCACTAGCCCCGGTAGCCACAACGCCTGCCTGTGTGAGGTTGTACATCGAAAGGTCTGGCTCTCCAACGCATATTTCGGGGCCCAATGGAGAACCCCAACTCAGGGGGCTTGAGGACCCAAAGCATCAAGGGAAGTTTGAGCCTTGACCTTTCCTCGACCTAACCAGATCCCTTTCTGAAGGAAACCACACGTGGCCGGTAAATTGACTCACTGCGACACCTCATGAGACATCTCGTGGTTTCCTCTAGAATCTTCTAAAGGGATCCATTCGTTCAGTGCCAAACCCCTTGTGAACCCTGCGAGCCATCCCCCGTATTTTAACTGTATTTTATCCACAAGTTCATTCCCAACCCCCCGGACACGATTCCCTACCTGGGTTTTCTCAAAATAGGAGGGACCCAGCCCAAAAAAGGGTGGCCCTTTGAATTCTGATTTTTTCAGCCCCATCGAGATCATCGACGGGAATGCCTCATCGCTGCTCCTTTCATCCTGCTCCTTCAAAGCCTGCTCCAGGCATGCGATGGCTGCGTCCATCTCCTCGAAAGAGCGGGACCCACCCGAGCCGACTCGAGTGAGAGTCGGCTCGACGCTTATGCAAGTTTATGTGGGGGTGCATGTGTACCCCCCCTCCAAAAAAACAGAAATAGAAAAGTGGTGTCCATTTAAAACGAACAAGAAAAAGGGTACCCTCGGGGAAGAACAAAAAGAGCCTTCTCCGCTTTAATACCACCTGCAGGAAGGTAGACACCCTCCACTAAATGCCCTTTTGGGGGAGGAGTTGTTCAGTGACCCTGAAAGAAAAGGGAACCCTTTCGGGGTAGTCACCAAAGCGAAAAGGAACGTGCCACGGAACAACTTTTGCGACTTTTGTGGTCTGGTGCACGTGCTCGGCCGTATGGCGGAGACACGTGTTCAGCACCCGGATGCAAACGCAGAGGCAAATGCAGATGCGAACTCCTCCATGTTTCGCTTCCAAATGCCTATGTTCACTCAGGGTGACGTGTTCTGTTATTTAAGAGGCTCGCTCAAAGGACCTGTTCAAGCGGGTTTACTTGGGTTTCCCCTCAAACCCATCACTGAGGGATTTAAGCACCAATAAGGGCTCACATGGTCAACTGATCGATTCTCCGGCCTCTTCCTTCCACAAAGATCGCCGGATGTCCGCATCATACAGCAAGGATTGCAGCTCGTTCTGTCGGCCTGACAAGCCCCAAGGCTCTCGCTCGCTCGAGGGGTCGCACCCAAAATAAGAACGGCTTGGGCCAAAACCACTATAGGAAGGGCCAACAAAGACAACCGCAAGGCACTAAACCGTTCGAGCGGCAAGACCTAAAATTAGTAGAATGGGTGCCTTCTGCTGCATTGCATAATCTTGTTTTTTTGTCAGCTGGTACTGTGTGACCAAGCCAGAGAAGAATGGGGAATCAACCAGGGCCACACCTTGTTTGAGCATGTCTAGAACACTTTGCTCTAACAACCAAATAGACAGGCCTGCAACAATCACTATAGGGAAACCACATGCGTTGGGAAAGGCTTGAGACCTAGACCGATTCTTGGACGACCAGGCCATGGTGTGATACATGTTTTACAAGGAACCACCACTTAAGCAGCATTCCCACGAAGCCTTGCATAGCCTTCCTTCGGCATTCGGTATGGACTACACATGGAGAGCCACGTCAAGCCCAGATTCCGCGTTGCATTGACTTCCCTGGCTGAGCTTTGGAGTATAAACATCTCTTTTCTGATTCTGGTCCACATCCAGTCAACCTGAACATACATCATACTTTTCTGAGACTGCAAATGGACTGATGACATGTCCTCCACTTGTAAATGGTTTTCTTGGATACCGTTGATGGCTTGCCTGAAAAACCTGACAACCACCAGTCGCTGGGCTCCGTTCCTCACTCAGATCGTCCAATCTCCTTACAACCCCTGCAATCCCTACAAGGAAAGCACGGGGGGTCCGAACAAACGTGACCTACAAGCGCCCAACAAATCAGAATGGGGTTGTAGAGGGCCTTAAAATCAATCTAGTCCATGACTATGATACGAATATTGTTGAGCCCCATAGAAAGTTTTGCTTTCCAAATTCTAATGCGCATGGTCGGAGTTGAATGTATCCTAGCCTGTAAGAACCGCACCACAGTACCCGCAAAAGGCACATTGAAGAAACGGGTTAGGGTCTTCAATCCCAACTCAGAAGCGACACGCTCGCTATTTAGCTGCGTCGCTTATCAAGTTCCCAGTCCAACTTGCCGCTTCTTGTATGCTTAACCTAAAAGCCGCTTGTTTCCAAGACTTGGGTGTGTCTTTCAGGGCCCCCCCCCCGGAATGCTGGTTTTCCTTCTGGTTTCCTTTTAAAACCAAAAACAGGGGGTGTCCTCACGACCAAACCACCCAATTCGGTCCTTACGGGGGCTAAAGGTCAGGGCTTTACAGCACAAGCCTGGCTGTTCCTTCCATCCAGCCTGATGAGACCATGTCCCTGGCCATGTCCACCATGCCGCCCATGACTCCCTTGTCCCTGGGATGGCTGATGGCGATCGAGCAACAAAACCCGAGCTTATTTGGTCCTCCTTGGCCTTAGCTGAGCTTAGCTGTATTTACTTGGCAGTTTGGGCTGATTTGCCCAAATACGCCTTGTTATTCACCCCTTAAGACTGTGAATGCCTCCCCCAGCCGGATCCCTGCTCTATCTTGATCACATAGCTTCACTTCCATAGCGTAGAGATGTGCCGCAGCACATGGCACTTTAGCAAATCCGAACGAGCCCATTCCATCTCCGTAGAAGTGCGGGTTACATTCCTCGACCACTCCATCGACCTCCTAACGGTTCCGACCAAAAGAAGACTCTTTTTGGGATTGACAACTTTTGAGGGGAACCCGCAAAACAAAAAGGTCCAAAGGGTGCTACGGAACAACAACTGGGTCCACCAAATCGTCATTAAATCGAAAGACGAGGACCTAGCCGACAGTCTCACCGAGGACACTTAGCCGTCAGGATTGCTTATAACAAGGGGTCTTTGGGGGGTGGTGTCTTGCAAACGCATCCCTTCAGACTTCACTCAATGGGTTGTTTGCATTTGGTTGGTGATTTCAACCTGCACATGGGTTTGCATCAAATAGGGGAACCCTCAAAATGGGTGACTCAAAATGGGCCCGCCACAAAAAAAACAAAAACATCAGCATGTTGTCGAAACTAAAGTTCAAAGAGGTATTCCCGTACACTCAAAACCACCAATGCAAAACAGTGTGCCCTATTCGGGTAGCAGTGCTTGAAGTGAAGCCCCTTTTCAAAAAGGACATAAGGCCAGCACTTGGGTTGACCACAATCCAAATGGCTGCACGACAACTAATTAATACTGATTGAAAAAAAAGGAATGTGTCATATAGCCTTTTGTTTTATACACGTATCAGCCATGTTCTGAGGAGACTTCGGGTCTGGGCTTGACCAAAGATTGCAACTACCATTGAAACTTGAGACAAAACATTATTTATTTATTTGTTTAATCGCTTTCTGGGTCTGGGTACCCAAAGCGAAGCTGTCCCCAACGAAAAGAGAAGTGGGTGTGGATTTTAGTTGGGGACCATTTGGTGGGCGTGTCCTTTTCAAGGTTGGTTCGCCCAAAATTATGGGTCTCCTTGTGGTTTCCATTTGACAACCACGAACATGGGGTACTTTCAGAAACAACACACTGGTGAACATCATTTGGCTGGGGATTTATTAGCACCAACCTTATGGGAGAATATTGATTAGTATTCAATGCACATGTAAATGACCTCACTTCTTGAGAGGATTGGCCAAACCGAGTCCAAACGTTGTGTGTGCCACCAAAGAGGTTTCACCAAAAGCGACAACCAACCAGGTGGCAGGCAGGGAGTACTGGCTTGCTCTCGAACATGACCATCATGTACCCATTGGACTTAATTTCAACTTAGGAATCAGACTGGTGGGGACAGAGCCTTTTCTTGGCCCACATTTTTCAGATTCATATTCAATCTAGAAGGCCTGTGGAGTCGGATTTTTTTTCCCTTTGAGCCCTGAGGCTGCAAGGCAACGAGATCACCCTCAAGTGCCAGGCATGCTGTTGTCCACCTTGAACTTTTTCAGCCGCTCCAGGTGGGACTGCCGCGGAAACACAAGAACAGCCCGGTTGAGTGACCCCGATAGAAAAAGCGAACCCCTTTTTGGGGTTGACCAGCAAGCCACCAAAACAAAAAAGGGGGAAAAGGGGGACACTGAACAAATGGACAGCAACTGGGGGAAAGGGGAAACGGGAGCTTGGTCTGAGATTGAGTCATCCATCCCTTCTTGTTTTCTTCACAAGGAAGGGACAGCAAAATAGCCCAAACAACTACCTGTTCGTAGCAAGTGCCTACCAGAGCCCCTGGATCCTTTGCAGCAAAAGAAAGGACAGGCATTTGTTATTTGTTGCTTTGGGGTGTGCCTTTTGGTATACAGTTTAAAGGCGGAATCACAATTCTAAAGGGCCCATGTCCTACTTCGAGACACGATGGACTCCCTGGACCAAACGGAAAGCATTTGGGCAAGAGTCGGTGCCTCCTGAAGATCCGACTCCTGAGAAAGGCTATTCAAGGAAACCAACAACCCCAAGACAGCTGGGGCTTCCAAATTCAATTTCAGAGCTCAAGACTCAATTCCTCATGCGCGGCTTGGATGCAACTCCCGCCTTGAGATGCTGAAAGCATTCGTCATGCATGCGCCTGGCGACACGGACCTTGCTTTGTTTCTCCCTGTGAAATCCCAAAGTGGAATCACCACCCTATGACTGATTTTTCACTTTACAGAGGCCTCCTGATTTCGGGTAGAGGTCATTTTAGCGCCTGTATGGCTTTCTGTGGAATCCTTTGGGGTAGGTCCCTGGAAAAAACATGTTTTCTCGCGCCCCTCTACAATTGTCTCCCAAAGTCCCCATTTGGAACCCTCCTTACATGAATCACATTATGTCCATCATACGCACAAGGAATATGTATGTATATATATAATACATATATATATATATGCACTATGTATATATTACATGTGCCAGGGTCAAAATTCCTGATATGGCCTACAGTCATATTTGCCTTGATTAGAATCACTAAACTGGTCATTCAGGATCCCGACTAGGATGACCGTCCCTGTTAACTCCAAGTAAAGGGACCGGTCTTTTGACCCTACATATGGGTGTGGCTCAAAATCAAACAGGAGGGGTTGCGCAGGTGCTGGTTCATTTTTCCACTTAACAGGGTTCCATTTTGGTACCGGTTTTTTGAGCCACGGCCATATGGGGAGGGGGATCCGACTTTTTTGGAGTATGTCCTCGGCCTCGGGATGCGGCTGGGCAAGTTGTCCAATCAGAGGGGGCCAGGTGGGTGCGTCTTCTCTAAGGTTGGACCACCAAAATGGTGTTCCTTTGGTTCTCCTTTTGAAACCCACCAGCAAAGGGGTTCCCTGTTCTGCCAACCGAAGCAAAAGATCTACCCTCCAATCCACATGGAACCGGGGGGGGTCCTGGAAGACTACTTCCTACATGAACCCCCTGATAGGTGCCACGTTAGTGCAAGATCATATGGGGCGTCTTGTCTTTGGGACATGGTACCAATGCCAGGGTGCTTAACAAGAAGCACATGTTTGGGGTGCCCTCGAAAAAGACAGACCCTACTGGTCAAGTTTGGATGGCCCTGCGAACAAACACTGCCTGTCTTCATCCTGAGGGCATTGGGGATTGGGCTTCTGGACTTTACAGGAAACCGACCAACATGGTCTACAATACCCCGGTCCCAGTGTGTACAACGCACGCCACCTGTTAGGATTATTCTCACAGATCACCGATGTGTCAAGAACAGAACCTTTTGGGGGGATCTAGTCCTGGGCATGAAGCAGGCGAATCTCTGGGTGCATCTCCGGGAGAACGAGAACGAGACATATGCATCTATTGCTCATACATAGATAACAATAGAAGAACATCACCAACCTGCAATTCTACGGTTGCGAACACGCAGTAGGTGAAGTTGCCACAATTTGCTCAGAAAGATTGCACACAAGGGTCCGCATCTATTGGGTGGCTCTTTGGCCCGAAGAACAGAATGAATTTGAGCCTCCCGGTGGTCGAGTGAGCTTGGTAGAATAAGAGAACCCTGCCACAAGGCGGGGAAAAGGGTTCTACACATTTCGAGGGTTGACTTGTGCTTCCAACGAGTGGCCCGGGGGCACTGAACTCGCGGCTTTGGGCCAAGGCACATGCCGAAGAACTTGGCCAAGATCTGGGCGCGAGACTTTAAGGGAGCCTGTAACTGCCAGCGATCCAAGCGCACCCAATTTCAAGTGTTTCGAGGGTCATGGAGCACCTAAAAAGACCCCATATACAATCCTGGGTAAGGGTCGCTTTTTGAGGCAAAGAACGGCCAAAAAAGGAGCCCACCCATTTGGGCTCCCGACTGGCGTTGGAGGCTTTGGGTACGAAATAGCCAAATTGAGGAGGGCGCCCAACCACTGGACCCCGTGGTTTTTCTCATCAAGGGGCGCAAAGATCAAAGGCGATTGCCACGACGAAAAGACTTTGACCCCAAAGGTTCAGTGGATTTCCATGCGAAAGTGAATCCCTGTGTTTGGTAGCAAAAAAGGGGAGAAACAGGTGGTTGAGTTCCATGGGTGATCGCTCCCTCTGAAGCAAGTTGTAAAAAGGGAAAACCAATTGGAGGTCTGCAATGGTTTGCTCAAAAGAGTCAGAGTAAAACAATCAACTTCGGATTCAGAGGACAAGGGAGCCTTATAAGCAGCCTTGCAAGGAGCCTTATAAGGCTTGAGCAAGAATTTAAAGCCAGCTGTTGACTATTACAAGTTCTCAATGCATATCGCTAAAACAATACACTATGTAGGATTTCTATTCAAAATCCTAATTTCAAGACGAACCCCTTTCCCATCATGAATTTCATGTGCGTATGTTGCCTTAGTAGAAGTTAGCAGGCATATAGTTTGATCATTATTCCAATTGTCATTTAGACGTGATTCATGAATTCATGTTCCAAAAGGAGTTCAGCTCAATTTAACCATACGTTGAGTAGACCTTCATATGTTTACAAGTTATATTCTAGAATAACATGGAGTTGACTCAAAGTTGCAGATGGAACATAACACAAACACACACAGACACAGAGACACAGAGACACAGAGACACAGAGACACAGAGACACAGAGACACAGAGACACAGAGACACACAGACACACAGACACACAGAGACACAGAGACACACAGACACACACAGACACACACAGACACACACAGACACACACAGACACACACAGACACACACAGACACACACAGACACACAGACACACACAGACACACACACACACACAGACACACACAGACACACACAGACACACAGACAGACAGACAGACAGACAGACAGACAGACAGACACAGACAGACACAGACAGACACAGACAGACACAGACAGACACAGACAGACACAGACAGACACAGACAGACACACACAGACACACACAGACACACACAGACACACACACACACACACACACACACACACACACACACACACACACACACACACACACACACACACACACACACACGCACACACCCACACACACACACACACACGCACACACCCACACACACACACAGGCAGCAAATACATGCAATGACTTTCAGGTGAATAAAGATCCTTATAAAGCTGGAAACTGAGTAGGGTTTAATAAGCAGGAGGCTTTTTTGGATTTCTAGATGTGACAGAGATGACGCAGACTTGTCTTGCTTGCACATGGAACATGACACAGTGTGACTCGCACATGGTACACATGAAGCAGACAAGGTAGATCATAATGGGGCTCAGGAGATATCTAAATATTTTTATACGGAATTTTGAAAGCATTTTCAAGAAAAAATGGAACTAGAGTTACCATAAAGGGACTAGTACCCAAATTTGGTCCCCAGAAGGCTTGGCTGTTTCCCAGTTTTGTTCTTCAGCCCAGTGGCCGGGCGGCGGTCCAAGTGCCGCCTCAGCCTGAGCCGATCACAAGTCACGTGTTGAAACTCTATCCATGGAAGGTACTCAACCCAAAACGCAAGGGATGGGTTTCTCTCCGCCAAACACGTAGCTTCGAGTTGAGACTACCAGTTTGAGGGAATTCAAGCTCCCTCAAGAAGAACTCAATGAGTTTATACTTGGCTCACACCGTTTCATCTGTTCCTCCCATACTCAGCCTCAGCCGGTTGACTCTTAGGAATGGTCAAAAAAGTACGGCACCCTTACGACTGGTGGGTTTCCACGTGGTTCCCTTTAAATTTCACCACAAGGGTTTCCTAGTGCTTGGACACAAACTTGGCACCTCGTGATGGTCTACTTTACCAGGAAACCTTCATGAAGCCAACATTTGGAGCGGACTCAACACAAAGCCAGTTCCAGCCAAAGTCCGCGGAACCGAATTCCAAAAGTCCAGACACAAGGGTCCCTTGCAAAAATCAAATGGCTACACATGAAAACATGAGAGGAGCCTCCGGTCTATCGATCGGCCTCTGCTTGGGGCTGATGTTTTCAACGATCCAAATGTGCCGATGCGGCCAAACTTGCGGCCAAAGCAGTGGGTCTCTAGTCTTTGGGGTCCCAGGGTTGCAGTGTTCAGGGTTGCTCCAAGGGAATTACTGGTTGAGGGAGACCAAGAAAATGCTGAGCAACTTTCGACAATTGTCTACCCATGGCCTTGGGGTATACGGTTGATTGGCCCGGAGGGTAGCCACATGCTTGGTGAGCCTGGCAATGGTTTACATGGAGTTAACTCTGGGGGTGGACTCGAAGCAAAGCCCACCGCCTGGCAAACTTCTCCCGAGCAAGGTGTCTGGGAGGAGATTCTTCAAATTCAAGTGTTGTTTTCGTGGGATCCTCCTAAGTAAGGTACTCTTTCAGTAACGCCTCGGAGAAACCCAGTCCAATGGACACGCATCCAGTTCTGAAGCAGCGTTGTGAGAAACGACTCTTTGCATACCAAAGTAGCTGCCATCTTCATGGCGCTTGGTCACTTTCAAGGAACCGGGCTCCCTTGGCATCACAACCTCAAACCACCCAATGTAAAGGTGTCTATTTTGGGGGGCCCCCAGAATGGAGTTCGGTTTTTCTTTGGGCTTCTCATGAGTTGGAAACAACAAAAACAAAAACAAAAAAAAACATTCTTAAAAAAAGGGGGGCTACTCTATAAGATCCACGCCCAATGTCCCATGATCCTGGCCCCCTGGCTTGGACTTGTTCATCTCGCTGGCGCCCACCACCACGTCCTCGCGCATACGTCCCCGACGAACACGCGGCGACGGGTTCACGTAGAACTGGAAGAAGGCAAAGGGAACCAAAGGGAACCATAGCCTCGTTCCAATGGAAGTGGACCTTTGGTTTTGGACGACCAAATTTTGAAAGGGTTCCTGTTCCACTTCCATGTTGGAAGGAGGGGAATGCTCCTCATTGCACAGTGTGTCCAAGACTTTTGCCGCTGTGCATCCTGGAGCAAAGGCATTTCACTACTTCTGATCAGTCATTCGAGAAACGGTGGCCGTTGGGTTTCGCTCATCGGTGGAACCGAAAGAAAATCCAATAGACACCTTGGCATGCCCACAGCCGAGGGTCCCATCCCCCCGTCCACTGCGCGTCCCATCCCTGCTCAGAGGATTAACTGACTAAACTAGCAACCCCGAGTGTTTTAAAATATGCATTGCCAAAAACGGCCTAGTGTCGCCGTAGTTCAACTAAACAACGACTCAATTGATATCCAGCTACCACCACACATAGAAGATCATGGAAGCGCACAGGCTTGCCATCAAAATGTGTTCGGGCAAACAAACACAATAGAAACCCGTGCAAGCGTACTCCAGAATAACTTCTAAACATAGATACATTGGGGCTGTTGTGTACGAATGTGCGGGTAGAAAACCAAGTGCAGTCATAGTACTGCTTACAAGAGCAACCTGTCAGCAACTATTCACCCCTTTGCGGGTATGGTTGTGTGTGCAGAACAACCCAGAAAATGGAGGCTGTCGTCTTGAGCTCCCTTGAAAGCAACCTGAAAAGACTATCCAGTCAGAAAAGAAAACAAATCCTTGCCCTTTTGACTGAAACTTCTTGCGCCAAGCCGAGTCCCGCCTTCGCCGCGTCCAGCATTTTGTGGTCCTCCGGGTTGGGCGGCTCAAGTTGAAGCAACATCAAAACGGGAGATTCTCAGGTTATGCTCCATATTTGGCTACCGCTTAAAATTAATTGGAAGACCCCAGTTCAAAGGTGGCCTGATTTACACTAACTGCGCAACCCCTGGTCCTCATCCTTCTCCTCTTTCGTCAGGGGCCGAACCTCAGCGCACCCCAAGGCACGCAACCGGGTGATTTAGAGGATCTCCTGGTTGGTGGATAGGCACCCTGTGCAAAGCACCTGGAAAACAACATGTCTCACCTATTTGATCACCTTTTCCTATGACGCGAATCGTGTGTTGGTTCAAGCTAATGGGAACAGCTCACATTTCTCAAAGAATCTGGTGAATAACCAGGTGAACCTGAAGGTGATCAGTGATCAGCTATGGTCGCCTTGACAAAATGCGCGGCCAAAATGGACAAGGCAACGGGTCTGGTAGATTGAAGTCAATTCGCTTTCAGGTTGCAAGGAACAGACCGGCAGGGTGACCAACATGGTCCCTGGTTTCTCGGAAAACCAAAGGAACACGGCGACGGATTCCGCAACAATGGCTGATGTCCGCTTCTACAAAGTGCACCCTATATAGCTTGGCCCACCAGGGAACGTACACCAAAAACAATGCTATGTTTGTTTACCTCGTTCGTTTGTGCGGTTCTATATGTTATAAATGGGAAATCCACCATCTTGGGGTCCCCTAAAAAATGACACACACAAAACATGTTCGGAGTGCTTCATATTTAGACAACTCCGGATATAGCATATTCTGTCCGGTTCAGATGGAGCAACCCTGGCAGGGCCGTTGCTCCAACAGGCCTGACAGACATACTTCCACGATGGTCCATGCCCGAAGAACAACTCAAACAACAGGCCTACTGATTCAGATCCGAATGGGTTTTAAAGGTTAAACTGAGTGGGTCCAACCCGCCAGTACGAAATAGACTATTGAATGTAAATTCCTCAAGGACAGTTTGAAGGTTTGAATGCTTCGTTTTGGACAAGTCAAAGGAGGCTCCCACAAATGGGCCCGTGTTGAAAGCTGATACCTTACGGCACTCAATGTCCCAACAAGTCTTACCCTAAGCGTCATTGGACCCTCCACTGGAGAGATCAGGATCTCCATTGAACGGTTTTGGACCTCAACAAAGGCCTTTTCGAGGTCCAAGATGCTTCGGGCAAGCCTTTTTTGCCTTGCAAAGGTAAGGTGTGAGTGTGTGTGTGTGTGTGTGTGCGTGTTGGGTCATTGGATTTCCAGGCCAACCAAAACTCAAGCATCTATATGCGACGGGTTCCAATGATTACTGCATTTGAAGGTCCCAAGAGGGAAGCTCAGGCATGCCCGTTGACCATTTCCCTTGGTCAAGAACAGGATCCAGTTGAAGCCTTGACGCACAATGAACCCAAGTTCAGTCCGAAATGGACCGTTTACACACGCTCTCTCAACCCTAGATCCAGTAGAAACCACCCTAAACCCCAAGCCAACCCTGAACCAACCCTAGGACAACCCCTTCGAGCCGTGAGAAAGCGCAACATAGCGCAGACATCCGCAGACATTCCAACAGATGAACCATTTGCACCCAGGGCCAAGGGTGCTTCGAAACTGAAAAGTCATAGGCGCAAACCAATAGATCTTGTATTTGGCCCCTTATACGCAATATGCTAACTGTATTCCTTGAAAAACACAAAACATAATTATTACATAAATCGAAGAACTAGATTCTTTGTGTTGCTGCTGCTTTGACACAAACCTACAGGGAAAAGGCGAAACCTCTGGAGGTCGAAAAAGGAGTGGATTGCAAGTGGGCTCATAAATGGTTGCGTTGAACGGGTTCTCCAAAAGGCAAGTTGGTTGCTATCATTCTGTTTAAAGAAGAAACAAAGGGTTCAGCGCCTTGTTGTTACTATGTTTGGTCTTTTATGAGTTTCCCGTCGCGGACATCAAACACAGGCTATTGAACACCCAGTTTCTTCAGCCAAAAAAAACAACTACGAATGGATGACTTGTGGGTTCCCTGGGAATCTGCAATAAAATGCACGCTGCCCAACATGTTCGCAACCACACCGAGCTGTCGGCCGAGACGTCCACAAAGCCGGTGCACTCGTGGACCGTGAGCTGCGCCGGCGACGGTAGCGACTCGGCCGAAAGCCTTTCGCTTGAAGGGGTTTCGATTGCTTGCACTGTGTAGAATCCTGGGACCAACTAGGAAAGGCTCGGAAGGAACCTTCTGGTCTGAGAGCCATTCGTTTTTGTTGCGGGGGCGATGGTGGAGTTCCGACTTTTCTTCTCCTGAGGTTGGGCGTCTATGCAAGACTGCGTAGCTTAAAGCTCTGGTGACGCAGTTGAGGCAGGATACCACCAGTGGCTCACTCCAGGAGAAACCGCATACCCCTGATAGGCGCCTCCCAAAGTACTTGGCATATTATGGAGCTTATGGGAAAATGTTTGCGCGGCAACAAGACTGTCCTCCCCGAACCAACAAGCACTCCTGACCACAGAAACACCTAAACAGGCGCGGACAAAACCCCACCCCAAACCAACAGTAGACCAACAATATTGCCAGTGCACATGAGGTCTCAGACCATCTTCCATTTCAAGCAACTACAGTAAGTGCAGACCAAAGGAACCAGGGCACCAGGTTGGCATGCTTGCGTGAGACAACAACTTTGGGCAACCCCGGGGAACACCCAAAACTTGGTATTAGTTTCAACAAATACAACCGCATTGTGGCTTTTCCCTGCTTGTTTCCTTTTGCTAAACAAAAGGCTGCAGATTCTGCTTCATATCCCGCCGACCTTAAGTCACAGCTTTTGCCCTGAACACCTAAAGACTAAGAGAGACAACAACTGAAGGTGCGATTTGTTTTGCAACTATAGTCATCCTGAGGTATATGAAACCCCAAATCCAAGCAGACCTCCATCCCGCGACCCCCAATCCAATATATTCTCCGAGACCCAGGTGCCGCGCCTTGTTGATGGTGGGGTAGAAGTACTCCCGGAGACGCTTGCGCTGCCTCAGGCGCTTTTTCTTGTGAGCCTAGTGGATGATCTGCGACGGTAAACAAGGGGTGTGCGTTGAAATATATTTGGGGTGGGGACCCCACCAAATGTATCTCGTTCTTGTTGATGACGTCCCTTTAAAGTTTAGGTGCAAAGGGCTTCCCCGAAGTTCAACATGTTTGATCGCCCCCCATGTTTTTCAAGATCCTTTTGGGGACTCCCAATTCTATTTGGGGACTTGCAAGAAGAGTTCTTGGGGGAAGGGGGTCCAAAATGAATGATGGGAAGGGGACCTTGGGCCTCAAGTGACTTGTGTGTGGGCAAAAATCCTTGTGCTCAGAACCAAAAAAATCAGTTTTACTCAGAAGATGTGTTTGAAACTTGTCATCTAAGTATACAGAACCAAAACCATCCAAACGGGATGTCCCCCAACATGGTACGCCATGTCACCCGATCGTGAAGTCATGTCGAGGCACGGTGAATCAGAATTTGGGTCTGGCCATTCATCGAGGCCCTTTCAACTGTGGTCGATTTCGGTCCTGGCAAGTCACATGTCGCATGAATTGAAATTCTAATCCGGAGGACTGTGCTTGTCAACAGTGACTCCCCTTTGGCCTGGCAAGCCCCACGCTGCATGGATTGAGTATTGACTTATCTTTATTAATTCGAAGGACCGTACTTACCCTTTGGAATTGAAGCATTTTGAAGGGGATGTCTCAATTTCGGTCTTACCAGCAGTTTTGGGGCAAGACGCATGCTCAAACAGCGGTGGGCCGGGCCTTGTTTCCGTCGGTTAGGAGCCGTGAACGACACATCCTCGACACATCACACTTTTGAGAACCCCAACGGCTTATGGGACCCAAAGGAATCCACTTCACGCCGTGTCTCACAATCGGCCCCTGGCTCTGCGAAGCAGCCCGTGATGGCCTCAAGCGTTGCTCACAAGTCCCTTTCCCTGGGGTGGTCCTACACGTGGAGAGGGCCCGTTCAATTTTCCAAACCGGCGGCCAGCCATGCACAGCTACGCAATGTCGCGGAAGGCTTCGAAAGGTTCAGCCTGGAAGGGCAAATCACCCATTCTGCCTAGTTGCCCATCCTTCTTTTCAGAGACCTGTTAGCGGGGTCACTTTGACGCATTTTCCAGGAAGAAAGAATGACGGAAAGAAAAAGAAAGAAAGAACAACAGGCAGAAAGAAATGATCTCTGGAATGAACGGTCAGCGCATTTCCTAAAGAATCTACACAAACTCTACAACTCCCAAACGGAAGAGCCCGTCTTGCCGGGTAAGCTCGTGATAGTTTGCCCAGATCTCAGGCGACAATAGAAATTGATCATTCTTAGTAGGGAAGTCACCAAAACAATCAAGAGAAAGAGGGTGCCACTGAACAACTTGGAATAAAACACCCCCCCAACAACAAAACAAACAAGCAATTATATATATATATGTATATATATATATTATATATAATTGCTGTTTAATCGTTATTGGGGGCCTTTGAAATGCAGCAAAAGGAAAAACACCTTCCAACATGCGGAGCAAGGGATTGAAATACAAACAATGATGCACTCGCTTTGCGTTTTTGGTCTTGGTTTGGACTTGCTGTAGGACTGGCTTCAGGAGAACCATGATACTACTGGGGTTGGACCTGACGGGACATTCTTGTAGTAGTCATTTCTAGCGTAGTATTGATGGATTTCGGGCTTTGGAACAAATATTTTTCGGGGGACCTTTCTTGCTCGGGGGATGCGAGCAAACTGAGAGATTCCACAGCATTCCAAATGCTGAATGTAGACGTTGATATACTACGACATTACTCCCCTGTAGAATGATGCAATGTTGACCCTGGAAAAATAAACACGTCCTATGAATGGGGGTGTTGCGCTGCATAGTGATGAATCCCGCTAAATGGCAGCACCCCCGATTGATCAACCAGGGGTGTATAGGGCTTTATCAATCCTGAATCCCCTTTGACGTAGAACCTTAAATCAAACAACACTTGTTGTGGAGGAATCTGCTTTCACACCCTTTTTATGTTCCTTCCGTTGAGTTGCAGCGGAGAAGGTAGATTCTGTGGATGCACGAACTACCCGGCGGACCGAAAACCGCGCTCGCGTTTTGCCGCTTTGCTACAAAAACTCGCTTTTCACCTCAGCGAAACGCTCATTGAGTCCCCAAAAAACCTCCCAAAAAAAGGGCTCAGTTTTAGAGCGTTTTGCGTTTAGCTGACGCGAAACGCAAATTGTATCGCCCATTCCTGCCTTATCCTTTCTAACGTCTTTGCGATCGCAACAACAGTCTGCTGCTCCACATCTCGCTGGCGCAAGACATAGCGCCACTGCCAAGACTTTACATACAAAAGGACATGTGGGCTGCATGAAGGCAGCGAATTCGGAACATATGCGCTGCAGCTTGACATACAGTTTATCATGCAAGTGTGGCAGACAACCTATTCAATTTTCGCGTCCGCGAAAAACATCTTTGACAAACTCTCCCTTCCCGTGATTGACTGATTCAGCGCGCGCAGTGCTATAACGAAGCAGTCGAGCGGGTGTGCTTACCATGGTTTGTCGCGCGAGCGTGCCATAACGAAACAGTCGAGCGGGTGTTTCCCTGGTCAGGCATGCGCGCATTGCTAAAACGAAGTAGTCGAGCGGGTATTGCCCTGGTCAGGCGTGCGCGCAGTGCTATAACGAAGCAGTCGAGCGGGTACGCTTGCATTGGTCAGGCGTGCGCGTAGTGCTATAACGAAGCAGTCGAGCGGGTATGCTTCCCATGGTCAGGCGCGCGCGCGCAGTGCTATAGCAAAGCAGTCGAGCGGGTGCGCTGACCATGGTCAGGCGTGCGCGCAGTGCTTTCACGAAGCAGTCGAGCGGGTGTGCTTACCATGGTCAGGCGTGCGCGCATGTGCTATAACGAAGCAGTCGAAGCTTTGGCCCGCGGCCGCCTCTTCCCCTTGCATTTCTTCACGGGGAGAGCGTTAAAGATCTCGGCGGCGGCCCCGGCCAATCCCTCCCTGGTTACCTCGTCGTATTCGGGTTGGCTAGACAAACTTCCTCTCCAGGGGCAGGCCCGCGCGCAGCCGGTAGGGCTTGCGGCTCTTCTGCGGGCGCAGGCACATCCACCGGGGCAGTCGTGTCCTTCATTTTTCCGGCTAGGGCTTCGGGCTTAGGGCTTTCGATTTTTGGTGTTTGGGGCTTCGGGCTTTGGAAATTTTGGGCTTGGGGCTCAGGGCTTAGGGTTTTAGATTTTCGAGGCTCAGGGCTTAAGGTCTTGGATTTTTAGAAAGCTTTGGGTTTTGGATTTTTGTGGCTTAGGGCTTGGGGCTTGGGGCGCGCGCGGCTTAGGGCTTAGGGCGTAGGACTTTTAGGGTTCTGGGGCTTTGGTTTTTTAATTGTCGCGTCCTCCTCGCCCTTGAGGTCGGCTAAGATGGCCCGCGACCACTGCCCGGAAGCATGGCCCGGGCGGCAAGAAGGCGATACCACGCCTTCTGCCGCGGGCGGAAGGTGCCGGGCCCTTCGCCTGGGAGAGCTTGGAAAGCCGCCCATGCTTCGCGGACTTGGTCTTTCCACTCCTCCGGGGTCGTTCTTTTGTCTGTTTCTCGGGGTTGGCAAAGTCAATGAACAGAGTTGTTTCCCTTTAACCTACCTATCAGGGGCGACTTTAATGATTGCGAAACGATGGGGCCAGCTCCTCCACCGGCACGACAACCAAATCCACGACACCGTAGTGGCACAGCAGCGAGAAGTAACGGAAGCCAGCTTGACAGCTGGCCGCCGCCTCCTGAATCGGAATCCAAACCTGTTTTAAAACTGTTCCGCCGATGAACCCGTTTGCGTTTGGGACTGTCACTTAAAAACCTCGGGCCATCCCGTTTTGACTGCAGCTCTCCTGCGGCGTCATGGGCGCGCCGCGGTCGCCCGCTCTGGCTCTCGCTTCAATGCGGAGACTTTGCAGTTCCTCCGCCGATGCTAAGTCCAAGCTCCCAACAATCCGCGCCATTGTTTCCATCCGCTTGTCCATGTCGCGGTGCTGGGAAACGTATGTGAAGTGGGTGCTGCCCCGCCATGCCCGGAGGTGTTTGTGGGTGCTGCCCTTGTACGCAATGACCTTGCTTGCCCACAGGGCCTGGAAATGAAAGGTGAACGTTTTGGGACCTCTACTAAAATAAGCAAGAAGAAAGAACCGAAAGCTGAAGAACTTGGTTTTGAACGGCCGAGAGGCCAGTTTCCCCTTATCGTTCCCACACAGCGGGGCGTGGACGTCGCCCCGGTCCAGTGTGCTTCCCATGGTCAGGCGCTCTCGCAGTGCTTTCACGAAGCAGTCGAGCGGGTGTGCTTCCCATGGTCAGGCGTGCGCGCAGTGCTTTCGCGAAGCAGTCGAGCGGGTGTGCTTACCATGGTCAGGCGTGCGTGCAGTGTTATAACGAAGCAGTCGGGCGTGTGTCCTTACCATGGTCACGCGTGCGCGCAGCGACAGGGCGAAGCAAACGAGCGGGGTGCTATGCAGGGATTTAGCAAAAAAAAGTGCACGCCGTTGAGCGCGGTTTCTGGTCCGCTGGCACAAACTACTGCACCAGTCAAGATGGACGAAACCCGGCGCACACGTACATAAACAAAAAGGGGGTTCTAACGATAGTTAAGTGGTTAGCTTTGCCCCAGATAGCCTCCCACATCCCAGTAAACGCCCCCCAAAAGTCCTGTTGAACGATGAATGCCTGACTTCAATATATCAGTTGTCCTCTAGTTGGTGGTTGGCATTGGTGGTTTGGTGTTTGTTCCGGGGCAAAAAACCCACTGAAAACCACCATCAGAGGGTTGCCTGAAGGTAACCTAAAGGGCCACCAATCCGAACCACCAAACAGGGTGCTATATATATATATATATTCCCCCCAAAGAAACTCACTTTAGGCCAAAAAGGTGATGTTTAAACCCACCAAAAGGTTTATCTTTGTTGGGATGACCAACTCCCAACTTAGCCGACTTCTCAGAAGAGACAGGGAAACTCGTTCGCCCGGCCTCGGTTCCTTCATCATCTTCCTGGCGACGAACTCGGCTATTGGAATCTGTGGATCAGGGATGACCAGAGTCCCTTCAGTCGCATCCGCAAAGGCCGTTCAGCCAGATGGTGGATAAACAGGGCAAAGGGCACAAATGGTCAACATAAAAACAAACAGAACCCCCCAACCACTGCTTTTTGGACAGACTCGGGGTTTTGGATATAGGAATAGCCTTGTATAACTCTCACCTAGTGGCTGGTGCGAAGCGGGTTTTGTCCATCGACAGTATGGCGCAGGTCTTGAGTTGGCTGAGTAGCTCTAAGAACAATTGGTGTTGTGAGGAATGCATCCCAGTGCCTGCTATACTATAGTGGTTCTTACTTCTTTGGTTCTCATCATGGTTTTGACTGGCTACCTGTTGCATTGATAACTGGAAGCACTGGGTACGAGGGTGAATTGCGAAGTGCCCAAAACACATGTTGGCCATGTTGGTATGGGGTTCCACCTTCTGCTTGAATGGGGATTGTAGGAAAGCCAATGTGAACCTGTATAACGACCTCAGTAGAACCAAAAGTCAGTGGGTTTTGGGCGCTGCTCAATTTGAGTTTGGCGGACATCATTTGCATCAACTCCAACTTGTTTGGAGCCCCGGATTCCCCAATGATAGCCATAGAAAGAGGGGGGCGATGGAAGCTGAAGGGCCTCGCCAGAAGGATGTCTTGCGGGATCTGGACCTCTTGAAGTGGGCATGATTCGGGGCTCTTCTCGGAAAAACATCCCAAAACCCTCCGCCCACATCTCAGGCTCGGTTCTAGGAACCTTCTCAAAAGGGGTTACAGGGGGTCCTCGAACCATTCGGGTGGGTAGAGGGGGCCAAAGTCTATCCCTCACTTGGTCTTTCAAGGAACGTGACCAACAAAGCAGCATATCTAAGAGGTGTTGACTGGCCCTTTTCCGCTCAATGATTTTTACTGGGGAACCAAACAAAAAGGAAAACGGATCTTGGTTCGAGCGGGCTCAGGGATAAGTAGCAAGTCTAATATGGATGTTTTTTTAGGGGATCCCCAAAAATGGTTGGCTTTCTTTAGGTGTCCCTTTAAAACCAACCAAAAAGGGTACCCTCAAAGAAAGACACGATCAAAGCCTAAAGTTAGTGTTCGTGAAACGGACGCTGAAACTTTCGATTTGGCACGACAATCAACCCTCGAACTTGGAATTCAGGCAGATCCCTGCTGTTCCAAGTCAGCATCACTGGGAGTTGAGTGTAGGTTCCGCGTAATTACCAAGCTCACGCCCAGCGCAGGCACAGGTGGTTCTTGGCATTTGGACGTCCTCCGCCTGCTCACAGGGCTCCGTGCGCCTGACTGGGCTAAACCTGTCCTGCTGGGTCCGCCGTCGACACTTCTCATCCCCTAGCATGCAGCAAGCACTCAAATCTTCGCCACTTGCGCTTTCCTGCTTGGCCGTTCCGGTGCCAAAGGCTCCAATTTGGAATGTCATGCCTTGGACGCCTTGGGTTGCCGACGCGCTCGGTTTTGGCAAGGGACCACCAAAGCCCGCTTGGGCACAAGGCGGAGCTCAGTAGAAGCGGGGCCCGTGCTACATCTCCCCTTGCTGCGACTTTTCACAGAAACGGAAGGTTTAGCTTGGCGCCCAAGTCGACGCTGCAGTTTGGGGAAGAGCTGCAACTCCAAAAGTGGCCGGGCCTGGAGTCTCTCTCCCAGGGAAGCCCCTCCAATCAAGGACCCCCATCGTTTCGTAAGATGTTTCCACCCCAAGCCACTCCCCCCCAAAAAACAAGAAGAGTGGGTTGGATAAACTCTAAAAACTGTATCTTATGGTGGTACATCCCAGTTCCCATGCCTTGCCTTGATCCTTACCAGGCCCTTGCGGCTGTCAGCGTGCCAGCTCGTAAAGATGGGGAGGCGCTTCTGGTCGGCCTGGCAGGGCGGTCTCACGCCCGGGAATCCGCGGTCCGTACCAGTATAGCTTCCAAGACCATCTATGTGCACATGTGTATATTTCATAAGAACAAACAAATATCATGTTGTAGTGTGATTTTGTTTTTTTGATAATCAGCAAAGCACGAGAGACTATTGGCTGTTCAATCTGCGCATGCCAACAACCCACCCTTGCAGGTGTAAGAATGTCGGCTGCAGCTAACACTCAAGAAGACAGTGCTTTGCTTGCCGGGGGGTCAGCTTCCAATGGAACCCAAGGGAGATTCCTCCAAAATGGTTTTGGGGCAACCGCGTAAAAGTGCAAAGGAGTTTGAATCTTATGCAGGGGCCCCAAAGGAAGCAAGCCGTAAAATGGGCCCCTATTTTGAGAAACACCCATATGCTTCACACATTTCTTGCGTGCGTTGCGTAGGAGGGTGCAAGGCTTGGCAGTTCTCTCCAGATTTGGCTCTGTTGCCGGCACTCTGAAAGTGCTAACTACACCTGCCAACAAGGCGCCGTGTGAGCGGTCACGAAAAGCTGCGGCTTCAGGCAACCAAGAGTTTCAAGAGCCGCTTCAGTAGTCGCCTGCCACCAGTCAAAGTCCTTCTAGCTAAGCAGGACAGCTTTCTGCGGTTACCAACTGGTCTGAAGAGACACGTGTTCGCACATTGCTTGAGTTTGAAGTCTTGGGCAGTAGCGCACCTTGCTGGAGCTGCTTGGAACCCATGAAGCGGGACACGCCGAACTGGGACTCTGCCTTTCACTATGCCACGCAAGTCTGTTACCTATACCCTCGAGAAGCTTGGACGCCGCTGCGCTCTCAGACTGGGCTGGGGGTTTGCGTCGGCTGCAAGTTGCCAGTGGGCACGTGATATTCGCATGGCACGTGTGAGTAACCTTCGACTCATAGTTGCGCCATTGTCTGTGCCAAAGAAAGTTCTGAAGGAAGAACGCTCTCACGTTGCAGTGGGCCATGACAAAGAAGGGCGCAGGAGAAGCGCAATGGCAATGGCTTTTGGCAATTGCTTTTGCCTGTGTGGCAGGCACACACAATTCACGATCGCAGGAATGTTTGGCAGCGCAGTCTTTGATCGTGTTGCAGGGGGTCCGAAGCATTCTTGTTCGGAGAACCCCAGGTTTTGAGCGACAAGTGACTGGAAACACACCTCATCCGCTGGAAAAGCCATCTGCACACAGAACTCGAGGCAACGTTCCCAAAGATCCTCTGATATCAATGAAATCAAAAGGAAACTCCTGTGTTGCGGGCTGGAAACTCGGTTTTCTGTGATTTTCGTGCTGATTTCAGACAAGTATCTGGAGAATGGTTGTTTGTCTCTTTCCCCAAAATGGGCTTCGGTTTGCCTTTGGTGTCCCTTTCCAAGCCCAAAACGCGTATCCTCAAAAAGACAACCCCATATCCATACCGAATTTCTTGAAACCAAGGTGCTGGCTGTGCCCAAGCCCAATTCGACGAGGCATGTGGTTTGGGAGGCCCGGTGCACACACATAGCACATTGTCTTCCTCGGTTGGCGCGTCAGTAGACCAGTTGAACCAGCAGACGCCCGTTTAGCCCGCACGCGTACCACCAGGTGTAAGAGTTTTGGGTCCCCAACAGCAAGGTCAAACATTTAAAAAGTAGATTCTGCTCCATGAAGGGCTTCCAACATGTCACTCCTTTGTGGGTGCAACAGAAATACTGTACAGGGTTGACCCGGCTGTCCGTCACAGTCTTCTACTGTACTAGGGGTCTGGGTGAAATCCTTTGTCAACTCCTACCTTCCCCATTGCCCATGGGAACCAAACCCTTGCTCTGTGGCCGATTTCAAAAGGGGGCCAAGTTATTTGCGCCCCTCACAACACCGGGCCTTGCAACCCACCGGGGCCGGGACCTGGAAAACCGAGAATCCCCCCTTGGAATTCGATTCGGGACCCGCGCCATGTCTGTGCCCAGCGCCATGTCCTCCGCCTTCTCCGCCCAAATCTGGTCCTGCGAAGTTGACCGGATGAAGTCAAACCTCTGGTTGATTGGCGGGGGTGCCCCCCTTGTTGCAAGGGTTCAGTCTTTGGAGGGAACAGGGGTCAACATTGACCCAGTGAGCCTGGTAGAGAAAGGAAACCCTGGAAGACTACTTGGGCTTTACTCTTCCTTTGTCAACCAGGATTTTTGACTTCTAGCTTTTGTAGCGCTTTACATGACATTCCCCTTAGTTACCATATAATCACTGGATTCACCGCGTTTGACACTGGTCGGTGATGGCTCGCCCGCCCAGGATCCCCCGGAACCACCACACAAGGACCTGGTCCGCACGAGGCCACTGAAGCCGAAGCGATACTTTAGAGTTGCTCTCCGTGCCCGTGGGCCCGTGACTCAACTCTGCAGATTTAGGATGGAACCATTTTGTCGCCTCTGGACAATCCCATTTTGGGCAAACCGCGCGGACTTGGGACCGAGCGCATGAGTCCAGCGGCGAATCCAGCGGCCTTTTGGCTTCCCGTCAAACCAAGGTGCAAAGGGTACCTTCGAGAACTTCTCCCACACACACAAGTTGTTCAGATCGACTGCTCCAACAACCTTCCCCCAGTCCTTCCTCTGCCAGTCCCTGCGTCTTTGCTTTGAAAGTGGCCCCGGAAGTTGAGATCTTCGTCATTCACACAAATGTAGCAACCCGTGCTATTTACCCGACGCAGGTCCACGTCTCTACAAATCCAGCACCCGTCGGACATCCGCAAAGGTTCCCTTTTTAAAAAGTCATGGTGACGAGAGTAAGCCACATGGCAAGGCATTTGGGTGTTTCAAATGCAAATCGGGTTGTCACGGCACATGTTGTTGCTGGTGCTCAGTCTCCTATGCCCATGTCCAATGCCTGTTTCTCTGCCCCCTTTCGCTTCTGAAGTCCTCTTCGGGGAGCATCAGGTCGAAAGACTCTGAGATCCTGCAGGGAAGGCGCCAAAGGTTGCCTGGTTGCAGCCGATGAACCCCTGGTTAATTGCAGTACCTATACCGGCAACCGGAAACAGGGCGTCGCACCTCCTAGGAGATCTCCATGCAAACCGTGAAAACCCAACAAACCATCCTGAAACTGGGTCCCCTCAAGTGACAGCCTCAAACATACCAGCTGAATTGTGGCTTGAACGGAACACCCCCCCCAAGAGTATTTTTTTTGAGAACCTTCAAGGGCAATTGAATCCTCAACCCTCAACAGCGACAGGGCAAGACCAAGCTACCCTGAGCTTGCGAGCAACTGGAAGAAGTTCGGTGAGCCTGCTTGGCAAGTTGCGCTTAAAGCATGTCCCCCTTTCCTATATTTCAGGACGGCTTTCCCAAATCCACATAGCTTTTACAATCTCAGAAGTGCTCTCAAAATTGCGTAACTTGGTTGTGTCCGTGTCCGGCTATGGACCAAATGGAACCAGCCATGGATCAAGTGGCCAACATGGGTAGGTCTCGAGTTCCATGATAGTTTCCCCGTAAAGTCATTCGAAGGAAACTCATCTCTTCCATTGCACGAAACGGGCAAGGGCAAGCTTTCACCTTTGTTTGATCCCCAAGTCCATCTTTAAGCTGGGCGACGGAATCTGGAGAAATTGCTTGGCTTGCGTTGGGTCTCCGTCCAGCAAGCACTTGAATGGATGGATTGGTTGCAATAGTTCCTCTTCCTAAATGAAAGGACCTGAGTAGGAAGATCGCGTGGCCGTGGGCTTTTTGGCGCGACGGGTGGGGGGGGTGTCGGTCACCTCGGCCTCTACGCAACCTCTACAGAGAGGAGAGAGAGAGAGAGAGAAAGAGAAAGAGAGAAAAGAGAGGGTTCGATCGATTGCAAGTCGGCAACAATTGGGGAAATACCGCAATTCACAGCAATTTGACAAGGTTTTGTGGCTGGATCCACTTAGTTGTGTCCCAAACATGAGGCCCTCCAAACGTCAAGGGTTCCTGTTGGCTTCCCTTGAAAGCACCATGCAAAAGAACCTCCCACCAACATGCCACTCACCAGAAGGTCCCTCCAGAGGAAACTGGTCCAACCAAGCCTGTGCCTCCTCAGAATACCACCAATACAAGCTTCTTTGCCAGTATCCCTTCTGGTTCGGTAATTCTTTGTGGCCTCCACCGAAGCTTGGTTTACAGCTGCACACAGGCCATCAGATTTTCTGTGTTCCTTCCACAGTTCGTCCAACCTAAACATATTAAATCGCCTTGGAGGAGACCCCCAGAAACCCCGTGCCTCTGAAAATGCCCAGACACGCCGCCCCCCCTCGATTCGCTTAAAGCCACGTCGGTCCCTAGGAGCTCTTCCACGTGCTTGCCGTCGGGTTCCGTGTGCTGGGCCCAGACCATGAGCTTGAACTGGGCAGGCGAAAAGGGCGAGACATATCATTAGACAAGTCTACAAAAACATTTTGACTGGTTTATAAACCCACTTAGTTACAAGTCATAAACACAAAGAGGCGGCCAAACATGGAATGCACAGGGGTACCCGTCAACAAGCCCCGTGCCCAAAAGCTGTCCTGCGAATTTAACAGTATGATTTCACATTCCTGGGAAATCAATTGGTTAAAACACTCGTTGATGAGTGGGGCTGTAGCCATGGCCATTGCAGAGACGAACCGGATGATTGAAAAGAAACCCGCTTAATCGCCTGGGTAAGTGGTAGCGGTAATGGTAGTGGTAGTAGTAGAAGTAGAAGTAGAAGTAGAAGTAGAAGTAGAAGTAGTAGTAGTAGTAGTAGTAGTAGTAGTAGTAGTAGTAGTAGCAGCAGTAGTAGTAGCAGCAGTAGTAGTAGTAATAGTACTAGTAGTGGCAATAATAGCAGGTAGTAGTTAGTCGTAGTAGGGCAGCCCCGACCCGTCAAGCCCGCCGAAATACAATGTGGAGCCTTAGGGTGGGCCTGAGACCCTATATGGCCGATTGTGGGTCATGCGGGCTTTGACCCAAAAATAACAAAAAGCTTCATACGCTTTGTTCAACGTGTTGAACAACACGGGTTTCAAAATTTCAAACTGATCATATACGCAAATAATCGAAAACATGGTTATACATGGTCAAATACGCGGGGTTGACCCAAAAAGACGGCCATACGGGGTGAGCAGAGGAGCGCGACTGGCCTAGCAAAAGAGTCTCTGCCAACTTGCCAACCTCAAAAAGAGTACCCCGCCGAAAGGAGCTTGCGTTGAATATCTTTGACTTGGCAGCCAGTGCGTGATGCCCAAAATTGTTCAAGAGTTACACCACCACTCACAAACCAAGACCTGGGCATCTACAGCGTTCCACCAAATTTCCCATACGTGAGAGCCGGTGTGGGGTCTTCTGCGCGACAAAAGAAACCGGCCCCCTTGGCTTCATTCTCGTGGCGGGTAAGTACCCCTCAAAGCTTCCCCAATGCCTTTGTGCGCCCAACATTCTGTTTTGGGTGTCTGCGACCAGGAAAAACGTGACTTAGAGAAAAAGAGAAGGAACACAAAAGCGATGACGCAGGCACCTTGGGAGAACGCAATCAAAAGAAACCGAAAGAAGCCGCGCAGTGTCTTAGCCTTGTGAAATGGTTGTTTTCCTTTTAAACTTTTGGCTTCCCTTTAAACCACACAAAAAGGACACCCTCAAAATGCGGCACCCCTCTAAAGCGAAACCGGACAAGGGACAGTTTTTTCCTGGTACTTGATTTCAAAGAGAAACCCGTCCTGAAAAAGAACATGAGGGGACTGGAGGTCAGGGCTCCTGATGGAACAATGAGCCACGGTCAAATTGACTTTTAAGTGCATCCCCTGCACCCGCAAAACGTGAAGTAATGAAAGGTTACTCTCTTGGGACCTTGACTAAAAATATGACCAAAGCGGAAACCATAAAAGTGCAAATGTCGATTCGCTTAGCACAAATAAAACTATGGAAGGCTTTGAAACAAGAATCTTCCCTCTGGAAAAGAGCAATAATCATATATTCACATTACTCATCCCACACACTTCTCGCTACGGACAAACCAACAACGCCTGGTCAAATGAGCAGCCATGAACAACTCAACACAAAGTATCAACCAAAGCCCCAAAGCCCCCGTCGCAACAACCACCAACAGTTTGGCTAGGTCCATCGCATTGAGCGAGCCCTTGCACCAGGCTTCATCAGGCCGCAAACACGAACACTGTTGGAAACGCCTTTGAGCGCCGGCTTCCAGGCAAGCCGCTATAGCAGGCAACCAGGGGAAACCATGTAAAACCTTGAGGTAAACTTAGACATGCCTGGAGCGGTGGGGTTGGTTTCCCTTCCGTCCGAAAGTGGTCTAACATGCCTGGTGACCTGTGGGATTCTCTGGAAGCTCTGGGTGTGGCTTCCCTTCCAAAAGAAGCCGACCCTCGCGTCTTAGGATCGCCTTGCTCACGGTGGGGGGGATCGGCACCTTGAACTCGCAGCCCGGGTAGCACCAGAAGCCCTCGGATCGGAGCGGCGCAAAAAATCCGCAGTCCGAATGGAAGCCAAAGGGTCGACCCGTTTGGTGTACAGGGTGTTTTTTTGCTAAGAGGTTCTAGGGCTTATGGCTCTACTTGCATATCCCTGTTTTGAGCCAACAGGATAACAACAATTTGGGGGGGGGGGTCCGCTATTTTGAGACAAACCCATTTGTGTCTAGACTTAACTTCCGGCCCGGGCATCAAAAAGATTCACCTTGGGAAGCCACATCGAGTCCATCGGCCCTCGGTTCTCATGGCCCCATGGCGGGTAGTTACGCCCGGTATACCAGCGATGCTCGGCATACCCTATGTACTTTTTGGCTCACCAAAGGACCTGGACAATAAGGCAACCCCAAGCAAAGCAAGATCATCATCGGTGCTCACTCGTCTCGACTTGACTCAGTGGAATCGCTCATGCAACAGGCGGCTTGCAAGCCGAGCTCCCGGCGATACTGCCGTACCTCGATGCATCGTTCCAGTTCCCATCCTCGTCGCCTTCTTCTTCCTCGAGCCACACAAACGCGGACCCTGCTTGTTCAACCTGCCAACCTGTTTTGCGGACTCCAGAAACCAGAAGACAGGTAGAGAGCGACAAACAGGTTGTGGGATTGTAAAAACAGGGTCCACAAACCAACCATCGATGCAAACACTTGGCGCGAAATCCCCATGCCATCCCTCTGGCACACACTGGTTAGGTGCGGTTGGTCGCTGTGCTCCGCCCAGAACCATGGGTAAATCCTTTGTGAGGTCGTACCTGGAAACGGGATTGCCTTGCAATCACCTAGCGTGGTCTTGTCTCAAAATTGAGGGACCCTCCAAAATGAGGGATTCCTCTTGGCTCTCTTGCGGGTTCCCTTTTTGGTTTCTAAAACTAACCAGACGCGGATTCCCCACGCCCAGCAACAAATACATGGACTCTGCCGGACTTGCAGCATTCACCTGTGGGGACAGGGAGGCCTGGGACAATTGCCATAGTTCCCAGCCATTTCCGCAGGTATTGGCAAAAGGAAGCCCTCAAATTGATTGGCAAACCGTTGAACAGCAACCATTCAACAAACAATCCAAACATATGTCCATCAAATGATCCATTTGCCCTTGTCGACAGGCCCCGAGTTTGGTTTGGCGCTGCCCTCTTGAGGACCACCCGATTTGGCCCTATGGGGTGTCTTCTTTCAGGGGATCCACAAATATAATCGTGGTTCCCTGTGGTTCCCATTTACAACAAACCACAAACAAGGGGGCACCCGCAACACCACACCCATTCCACGGAGATCGGACACAACTGATGCACACACGACTCATCGATTTTTGGCGCAAAACTGGGCCGGTCTTCGCTCTCAGCAAAAGGTCGATCATCTTTTTGTGGGTTTAATTCAATGGAGAAGCCATTAGTTTTCACAAGGTCTAAGGCGCAGTTCGGAACCCCAAAAATGGGGGGGGGGGCGCGGTCATGTCGCACCTGCCTGGAAAGAGTCCCTAAGTCACAAGGTGTGTCCCGTTTTAATAACAAACGGAAGGACCTAAACGACCTCCTTGGTTTGAACTTTTTCAGACCAAACAGGGACCCTATCTTTTGGTGGTTTTAGAACGTCACAATTGCACGCAGGTTGCTCTAGTTCACCAAGCTGGACGGCCAGGTTGGGCTTGGATGTTGACCCGCAAACAAAAAAACAACACAATCATATTTTAAATGGAGAAGTAGTCTCCAGAACATCAGCAGGTTGGTTCGTTCGCACCAAAAGAAATCAGGAGGTCCAGAGGGAGGATTAAAGAACCCTGCAACACGTTTTGTTCTTTTACCATACAACCACCCTAAGGATGAAACCCAAATTTTCCGCACCACCGGCCCTGAACCCAATTATGGGAAACAACGACCCTGCCCCTGAGTCGCCGAGCCAGAAGCGCGTTGAATTCTGAGCGCAGCAAGGGACTTGGGTAGTTGACCTTACCCCTAGGGCTCTTGAGTCTCCTTTAGACCCTTGAAGCATGGGTCTCACACCCGAAAATAAAAGGATGATGACCCGCTTTTAAGGGCCAGGCAGGCTCCAAGTACCCCTTTTATGTGGCACTGCCCGAAAACAGGTAAATGTTTCTTAGGTTTGGCAGCCCCCACGTCTGGCAGATGTCACCAAGACCTTGCCGTTGTTCAGTTCACAATGTCCTCTCGCAAAAAGACTACATAAGTACCCCTATATGAGTACCCTCAAGAAACCCAGGTTCATGGATCATGAACAAGGGGCACGACACCCGCACGGCCTTCCTCAAACAATTCATGATTTCATGGGGAGATAGCTCAGCCGAGATTTTTTGGGAATTGCCCTTTAGCCTGTGACCCACACAAGAGCGAGCAAGGCAAATGCTAGAAGCGAAAATGAGCAGTAAATTGCCTGTGTGTTGAGGCATGGGGAACATCTTAGTTGTTTCTAAGCCAGGCCAAATGGGCGTTTCCCCCCAAAACGGGTGGGTTCCCTTTAATGTGCCCCCTCAAAAGAGGATCTTCAAAAATGTCACATCAAACATTCTGTTAGCGTGCAGTCCGCAGTTGATCCAAGCGGGACAAGCCGTAAGACGCCTCACTTTTGCCTACTTGGCAAGTTTGTTCCATGCCTACACACAGGTAGGTTACGCGTGGCCCGCCGCAATGCGCTCGGGATGGGAGGCGTGTTGCAAACAAACATTGCCTTTTGGAAATAGTTTTGACTTGGTACCCTGATGCCTCTCAACGTGGCTATGTCCTGCCTCCCTCCCTCCCTCCCTCTCTCGCTCCCTTAACTTATCCAAAGCCGGCGGAGCCCGGAGGCGGAAGTTTCAAAACAGAAGGAACATAGCTTGGAGCGCACTTCTCTCTCTCTCTCTCTGTCTCCCTTTCGCTTTCTCTTTCTCGTAACCTTTCTCTCTTTCTCTAGTCTATATTCGCTTTCTTTTGGTCTTTCCCGGTCTCGGCGAGGGGCCCATTGGTGTGGCTGCGTGCGCTGTCTCGCAACCCTCAAACAGCTAACTCTGGGATTTGTTCGAGTGTCGCTTCGCTTTTGCAACTGCGGACGCTCTGAGTCCGCTCCGAGACCGTCGTGCGTACAGGCGCCGTGACCGAGGTGGTTTGCACATAAGCGGAAAAGCCAAATTCGCGCACTGGGCCATGCCTGCGGCCTGCTTCCATTCCCCAGCTCTCGCATTGTCCAGCTGTTGCTCAGCTCTTTCATACGTAGTGACGACAGTGGGCTATCTTCATGACTGCTTTGTCACTCTAGCGGGGACCAACCAAATCGTTTTTTTTCGACTCCGCTTGGGAAGAAAGAAAGCAAGAAAGAGAGAAAGAGAGACAGACAGAAAGAGAGAAGGAGGGCAAGAGAGAAAGAGAAAGAGAGAAAGAGAGAAAGAGAGAACGAGAGAAAAAGAAAAAGAGAGAGAGAGAGGGAGAAAGAGAGAAAGAGAGAAGAAGAGAGACAGAGAGAAAGAAACAGAGAAAGAAAGAGAGAGAAAGAAACAGAGAAAGAGAGAAAAATAAAAAGAGAGAGAGAGAGAGAAAGGGAGAAAGAGAGAAAGAGAGAAGAAGAGAGACAGAGAGAAAGAAACAGAGAAAGGAAGAAAAAATAAAGAAAGATAGAGAGGAAGAAAGAGAGAGATAGAGACAGAAAGAGACAGAGACAGCACTTGTGCTTACCTCAGAATTTGCCCTCCAACCAAAAAGGGTCTGTCGTTCTGGTCTATGTTTGGCGATTTGAACCAGACCAATGCGAAATCACACTTCACGCGAGATCCCAGTCCCCACTTTCTGAGTGTCTTGGCAGTCTGAACTTTTCGCTTGCTAGCATTTTCTAAAAAGGTAACTTGCTAGGAACCCTTCTCCAACAGCTAAGAGCTACGGGCGTCTTTGCGCAGATCGGCTCTGTGGCTTGGGCCTCTGAGGCCTCGGCTGTAGAGCCTGCCACCTTCTGTGGGCTTCCCCTCTTCCTCTTTCGCATGGGCCAGCTCCTTCTCGACGATCTCCAGGTTCATCTCCTCCTGGCGCGCTTCAGACTTGTTGGGCCGAGCCCATGGCGGGAATCCCTCCGCTTGGGCAGGAGATTCACTCAACAGAAACTAAACCTGAAACCCATTCTCCGCCATGCTCGGCCAAGTATGGTTTAACCCTGGCCCCCCTAAAGGATACCGTCAGGAGGTGGTTTCAAAATAGTTCTTTGAACATGTTCGGACACGAAACATGGACCGAATAGCAGAAAGCCTGGAACCCTGGAATCACGTCACAGGTTCAAATGAGGAACCCAGGAATCATACTGAGCGAAATCCAGTCCGATGTGCAGATGAGTACAACCCCAAGTACCTGCACCCTGGTCAGGACCTCCAGATCAACATCCTTCTTGAGGTGCAAGATGCTCAGGGAGGCTCAGTGCTTCCAGTCAATACGAAGGGTAGGTAACCAGGTATTTTTATCAATCCAGGTTGACATGATGGTTTTGCCTGGATGCCTGCAAAAGAAATAACTGGAAGCACTGGGAGGAGAAAACCAACTGGGTAGTCTGGGTCCCTGAACCGAGCAGAAGTGGGCGACCGACGTCGCGGGAAAGGCACCAGCACGGCGAAGGGGCTGCTGCGGTCCGGCCTCGATCGAAACGGAAAAACATGGGTCCTTATATTTCTCCTTTAGATCTCCAACATCACCTCTCGAAGTGCGTTTCCTTTGGGTAGGGTGATGTTTAAACGTGAAGTATGGGGAACCCTGAAAAATGTCTCTACCCGGATCCAGATGGATTTGTGGTCGGAGAACCCCGGTTCCCTAGCCCACTTTAAGGGCTTGCAGAAGAAAGAACCGATGTATCAACAGAAGCTGCAGAACTGTTCACAAACGATTCATCATGAGTTTCAAGACAAGTCTCATGGTTTCTCTTGACACGGCGTGGTTTTGTTTCTGACTCACTGACACAACCGTTTCAACCCAAATCCCAGGGCAGAGCACCAGCCTGAAAACATCTACGGCTCAACCGGCGTGTCTTGAAATGAACCCCTTCGGTTGCCTGGTTTTCCTGGATGATCAAAACGGAACAGACGGTGCTATGAACAAAGACACGCTCGAATGTGCAAACTCGATAGTAACCCCTGCTATAGCTCAGCCCTGGTCTTATTGGGCTAGCTACAAGCAAATATGAAGCAATTGTGGAGAACCAACTCAAGCTAGCCGATTCCTGACACTTCGCCCTTGACATCTGGCCAAAACAGTTCGAGCCGATTCTGTGCCAACACACCATGCATTCTCGAGAAACAAATGGTAGGATTTTCCCACAAGCACAACTAGTTGACGAGATGTACGCTGGGAATCGGGCTTTTCATCAAGGAATGTGGGTGTGTGTGTTTTTTAGGGGACCCTTAGAAAAGGACAAATTGTGGGTTTTCCTTTTGGTGTCCCTTTAACACCTCTCAAACATGCGGTACCCCTAAAAAAACACCCATATCTGGGTTTGCCAATTGGCACGTCCTTCAACTAATTTGGGTTCAGGCGTTTCACTGGTGCTCAGCCTGGATCCAAAGGAGTTGGACACCGGTGCGGCCTTTTGATGTGTCCTTTGGGGCACTATGAATGTGAGTTCTTGGGTGAGACTATGGCAGCTTGGAGTTGCAGAGGTCGTGCACATGTTTCTTGCTCTAGATTTGTTTGAGCTATATACTGCACCAATCAAGAAGCCTCAAGCCCCTCTCATGACCCTCCTGTGGAGCTGCAAAAAAGCCAGCCCTTGGAAATCTTGTGATGTGTTTGTTTGTTGGGAAATCCAGGCGATTCAAAGGCACATGTTGCATATCCGAAGCCATGGCGAGGAATTTGTCGACCAGGTGTATTAATAGTTGGAAACGTCCCCGCTTCTTTGAAGACAAGGTCAATCTGGATGACATCTGCAAAGAAGAGGGGAGTACTCCGAATCATTAGAATATACTGACTAGCTCCAAACGGGCGTCAGCCTGCAGACTGACTGGCCTCTGACTAAATGACCATTCAATCGCTGGGGTTTGATCCAGAAAGAGGAAGCCCCCTACAAAGATCCTTCCTTACAAGTCCAGGTAAATTCCAAGGCTTCACCACCCTGAAATCAGGGACGCCCAAAATAGGAAAGTTTGTCATGGACCTCGTTTGTTTCACCCTCAGTTCTTGTCTTCCCTCACCCGCAAAAAGTTGCTGGGGCCAGCGCGGCAGGTCGGCAAGGAAGTCTTCATTCCTCGAGTTTGCCGACATTGACCGCAACCGTAGGGTAGGTGACAAAGTGTGGTTCTGCAGATGTGTTGAAATATGTGCACGTGTGTCTGTGTTCGTGCGTGCGCGCGTGGCCAACAGAAAGAGCACAAATCCTCTGATTGACGCATGCAATCAATGCTTGGAGCTCTTCCCATGGCATGACATGATGGCAGGGAACCAAACACACGAACGACCAGCTAGATAAGCTTGGTGTCGGCTATACATGGCCACAGGGGCCTAAAAAGAGACCAGTTGGGATATCCCGGTTTCTTCTTGTTTGTTTTAGAAAAGCCATGCAGAAAACACATTCAACTTGCCCCCAATGCAAAAACCAATCACGAGCCTCCAAAGCAGGCTCTCAAATGAGCACGTGCTTTTTTGCGGATGCCGATAAGTGAGTAGCTTCCGGAGGGCCTTTCCGATAGGTTTGAAATGGGTCATGGAGATGGGGAACAATGGACTGATTCAAAGCCGACCTTTTCATCCGTTCTGCCGTTGGCTGCTTACTCTGGCTTCTTAAGGGGAGAAGGGAGCCAGTAGTCACTCAGTTTGTGTTCGGACATGTCAGCTCTCACAAGGGGCACCATAATTGACTGCAAGTGAGGGCGGCAGGGTTCCTTTGTTGGCAGTTCAGGGAACAGGCCTTACTATGAGGGAAGACAATTAAGCTAAGTCGTCAGTAAGAGAGGAGCCGTGGCAAACACTGACGTAATGTTAACTTTGGATTCATCCGGAGGTCGCTACTAGTGTCGGGGGCCCACTGAAATACAACATTTCCCTACTAAAAGGGAACCGCCCCTGATTAGTATGGTCCTCCGGATAAATCCAAAGTCAACATTGGCCAACCCCCAAACCCCGTGCAGCTGAGCATCTCATAGAGCACTGTGACGTACACTTTCTTGCCCTTCAAGCTCTGTGCGAGAGGTTGCCTGAACATCGATTCAAAGTGTCAAGCGAGTTCCAAGGCTGGGTTTTGGAACATGCTTCATCTAAGCCTTTGTCAGCAACAATCAAAACCTGGGTCTACCCAAAACCTATGTTAAAAAAGCAAAAGGGAGGAAGATATCTGCACCTACTTGAATCGTGACTCTCGGCTTTTCGTCACGGGAAGGCCATGAGGAGCTTCACTCGAAATGCTAAAAGGTCTGTCCAAGAAACCATTTAACTCGCAGAACCCGGTTTGGGTCCCCTAACTCGCAGAGTTTCCGGGAGATGGTTTCGACTCCGGAACAAAGTTGAGGCAGTTTCCCAGATGCCCAGACATGGCACCCACAAACCCTCGATCGTCGATCCCCTCACCCGAACACCTCAGTTGCAGGCCCTAGAAACCAAGACAAATGCCCCTGGTACACCCAAAGACCTAGGCGTCGATTGGGCAACCAGTTCAGCGGATTCAATATGCTGAACCATAAATAGACCTTGAGTATGGACCTTTCACATGGCGACTATAAACCCGATTGTAAGCACACAATACTTTATTTTATAATGTACGTGCATGCCGCACAATAAGCTGTTTGTTCTGCTCAAGATTTCACATGGTGGAAACCCTCCTGGTTGAAACGTCTAGTCAACTAATTCAAAGAGACATTCGGTTCGGTGCTGATTTGAGGGTACTCTTCTCAGGTGGGTTTAAGCCCAAGATGCAGTTGATAGTGGATGGATCGATCAATGACTTTTGTGGATGTGTACAATGCACGGGTGTATGTTTGCATGGATGCATGGGTGTGCGGGTGTCTGTGTACATGGGTGCATTGATGTATGGATGTGTGTTGTCCTTCTTCAAACATTCGCTGGTCCTCCGATCATCCCGCCAAGCCGGTGCACGCAGTGAAATCGACTTTGACTTGCAGATCCTGCACCTTCTTAGGGCCTCGTAAATTGCCCTTAGTAGAATTTTAACTGGCAAATCCCGCCTGCAAATTCGCCATAACATGTCACCAACTGTTGCAGGCAAATGTGTTTCGTCGTCACACGAAAACCCTAGTGGTTCATGAAGTCCACCCTTGGCACAACGCGCCAAGCAAAGGATGCTCCAAACAGTCCGTGCCTCAATGAAGCCCAGAAACCAAATCCGTCAAACTCCCAAGCTTTCGCGGCGATCTCGAAGGCGAGCTAGCTGCATGGTCTTCTTCTTTTCCGTGAAACCGCCGTGCTCGCAAAAGGCTCCATTGACCTACCTTTCATTTGATCTTACAAGTGAAGTGGTGTTGTTGGACCTTGTTTAATGTGGCTCCCCTTCTCCGCAGGACAATCAAATTAGTGCTCGGGGGTCCTGAAAATTGGTCTGGCAAGGAGCTTGGATGACTTAAGTATTGCTTTTAGTATTGCCAATACTTAGTGTAGTATTGCCGGCACTTCCATTGCCACCATTTAGTTTAGTATTGGCTAGTTTAAACTTAGAAATGCATGGAGTTACTCTCAGATTTCCAGTGCTTAGTTTAGTATTGCCGACTCAAAGTTTGGTATTGCCAGGACTTACTTTTAGACTCCCAGCAATTGGCTTAGTATTGTCTGGTTTAAAGTAGTGATTTGTTTGCCCCCGTTTTTGTTGCTCGGATATTTTCTCGTCAACAACAACTTGACATACATCATGGTACCGAAACAGCTGGGGGGGTTCATTCTTCAGCTGAGGACACTTGACATAATTCAGGGTACCAGCATTAAACCCAGGTGCAACATTACAAGAACCTGTGAGTTGAAACAACTCAGGTTCAGGTGTGTTGACAATGAGCCATGTTGAAAAGGACCCCCCCCATTTATCAGGCGGCACGCTCCAAAAGGTGGGCGTCCCTATTTGAGGGGCCTTTTTCTTTTGGGGGGGGGGGGGATTGCTTTTTGCGGGCAAACCAAACCGGAAACCAAGCCAAACCACCGGTGTCGGCTTCCCCGAACCAAACACATGGCACCCCTGCCGCTTTGTTCACGGCCTGCAGCTGGTGTGCTTGTTGGCGCGGGGGATCAGGATATGGTCCACCTGAAGCCCAATCCCCTGACGAGGCAATATGTTTGTGCTGAGCCAAACACGCCGCTGCAAAAACACAGGATTTGCATCAATGGTGGTTGTTTCTTGATGCTTCACGAATAGAAGCTTAAGGGCTGGCCCGAACCCTACCCAACAGGGGGTCCCTTCAAGAATAAATTGATCTTCCAGGTACCCTCCCGTGCCTTGATCTTAGCAGAGTAATGTTGACCCCTGTATATTTCTTTGGTTGGGAAGGAACCCCCTGTTGGGTGGTTTAAAGGGAAGCACGGCCCTAAAAAGCGAAGCATTTTGGATGTCCATATATGCATGTCGAGAGAAACCCGCGTCACGATCACAGAAGCAGTATATCGGTTGTGTGTTTGTGAGACCTAGGGATCTGAATGAAACATCCCGAGTTTAGCCACACACACACACACCCACATGTGCCCCTTCAGCATACCTGCAAACAGGTGAGGCCCACAACGCGTTTAAGCGGCTTAAGCACGTTTAAGCAATAGTTTCAGCAATAGCATGGACCCAAGCCGAATACTGTAGCCTTCAAGGCTGGACGGAGTCCAGAAAGTCTGACAAACCCTGCAGTGACCCCCCAACAACTTGGGTCACAATCCGACAAACATGATGTGCCACACAAGCGCCGCCAATCTTCTCCCCGAAGATTCATCTTTGCAAGCACGCCATAATCCCATGTGAAGTATGACAGACTGTAGAATGGATCCCAGGTCCCCCAGTAGGTTACAAGCCATCTTCCTCCGACGTCGACGCAAACCGGCTTCACGTCAAATTCCGAATCGGAGTCGGAACTGAAGGCCTTGACCATCACGCAGTTCCGGGGCTTGTCCGACTCGAAGGGCGTACCCATCAGCGCGGCGATGTGATCCTGGCTCCGTTTTGTTCCAATGCTCTGGAAACCAACAACTTCCAAATGATGGAACCTCCAACGTTTGGTTTCCCTCTGCTTTCCTTGAGATCGAAAAAGGGTGTCTCCTAAAGGTCCCTCTTTCCGGCCTCAAAAGAGGAAGCTTCACCCAGGGCAATCTTTCGCATGCAAACCACCCTATGGGTCTCGACTGTGTAAAAGAGGCCCGTGTTTAGAACCCCCCGGACTAGTCAACCTGACTGATCAATTCTGCCCTTCCAATAAGTGATTCATAAATCCTGGCCCACTGCTTCCAGTCACCACTCCGATAGGTACAGTAGCCAAGGGGAAACAGGAACAAGGAAAACACAGACAGAAAACAGCAAAACATTTAAGAAATTTATTTAACAAATAAAATGAAACATGAACAAAAACAATCAAATTACAGAAGCAAATAGCAACCTGAAAATACATAATATAATAAATATGCACATATAAACATAATAATAACAATAATGGTAATGACAAACAAGCACAATTGAATAAATGAATTCTACCCCACATACGGGCACTTGACTGAGCCTTTTATTGGGTTAGTATTACCTCGGCCGCTAGAGATGGTTTGTCCCCAAATGGCCGTTTGGTTTCCCCTACAGAACCACATATACCGATAAAGAAACGCATGGGCATGTGTCGAAATAGGGGCCCCCAAAATGGATTCGTCGGTCTTCCTGGAAGGATACCTTTCGCCTCTGAAGATTATCCACGTCACTTGAGGGATATGGTCGGACTTGCAAACCCCGGGTTGGGCCAGCACTTTGCTGAATTCATCATTTATCATCACCTTAGTCAGACAAGACCCTCCTAGGGTTTCGGGTTGTACGGATCTCGATTGGAAGGCTTGGGTGGCCTCAAACTAGGCCTGTTTGAGGTCCCAAGATGCTTGGGGCCATCGTTCCAGCATCTTGTTGGCTTTTTTGATAAATCTAGCCCAATATTGCAACTAACCCTGCCCACCAATTACCCAGACACGCCCCCCCCCCCCACCCCACACCCCCTTAAATTACACCAGCCTCGACCCCAAACAGCAAAAACACATGACAGGTCTGTATAACCCAAAAAAGGCTTGTCTCCTTCATGTAAGGTGCGAAATTGAGTAGCTTATGTGAGCAACACATAGATACAATCAGTCCATGTGTGTCCCTGTAGGAAGTCCCCTTTTTTGGGAAGAGGACACATCGGGTCCATCCATCTCCTTGACGCCGGGTAAAAGCATCGATGTTGCTCATCGACTTCGAGGGGCAAATGCCGTGTCAATGCCATGTTCGAGAGTGAAGGCCCCGGGGATTCGGGGTGAATCAACCTAACACCTGGCATTAAAATTAATCAAAGGAAGTTTTGAAGGAACTTTCGTAGTACGGACACTCAATGCACTTTTCCATCACCGCAGCATTTGGTGGCCGTCTCGCTACTCTGCTGAAACTTGCGCATCAGTCTCAGCAGCTTGCGGCCGAGACTGGACACATGCCACTTCTGGTTTCTATCTTCTTCTCGAGCTCAGCTAAAGGTCTTGCCACAAGCAAAGCAAGGGAGCACTTGCATAAACTTGCAGACTGCGCCTTGTAGCGTTACGGCCGGGACATCCTCGCCTAGCAACGCAAACACACGCCGCGCCAAATTTGCAAGCGTCAGCAAAGGTGCCCGTTTGGCGCGCACCTCTGTCACCCGGCGCAGCTCCAGCAAATCCTCAGTGTTTGAGCCGGCAGTAGCTTGGTCATCCAAGGGCCTTCATCTCTGTCGTGTCCAGCGCGCCGCATGCTCCCAAGATAGCCAACACATGGCTTTGCTCCATGCGCCCAACGCCGCTCCATTCTGGACTTTGAGCGTCAGCTCCAGCCCTGCTCCATCTCGGAAACGTGTGAGAACTTTGCCCCAACTTACCAATGCTGGCTGTGGACACCACCAGCTTGGCCGGGTTCATCTTGGAGTTGGTGCTTATGGTTCGCAGATTGGTGTTCACATGTGTGGTGAACGACCGGCGGCCGTCATTGCAATGCACGCCGCTGGCAACAACTTCTGGGCCTGGCCGGGTGTGTGTGTGTGAACTGTTTCCAAGTTGTCAAGGTCAGCGAAGTAGGTTGCCAGGAAAAGGCTCCTACGCATCAACCAAGTTTTTCGAGGAGAACTCGACAAGCGCAGGGACGATGCAAGCAACTCTTACGAGCTAATGGTTTGGCTGGGGACCCGACTCACCCAGGCTTTACTTCCAGGATAATTCTTTCTGGAAAACGCTCAGAAAAAACCTTGGAGCTCAGAGCTCGGCTGATGCGCCACAAGGATGCAAACTTGCGGCGCTGGCTTCCAAAAAGCAGCTCAGTATCAGCCGTATTCGTCTATCGAAACCAGTCTACATATTTAAGGCTCGGCAGGGCTCTGCTGATGCGCCACAAGGATGCAAACCTGCACTTGGCCAAGAAGTGCGGCACTGGCTTCCAAAAAGCAACCAGCCTGATGTCACTATATAATTGTTTTTATCGAGAAACATAGACATATTAATTATTAAAGGCTCGACAGGGCCCTGCTGGTGCGCCACAAGGATGCAAACCTGCACTTGGCCAAGAAGTGCGACACTGGCTTCTAAAAAGCAGCTCAGTTTCCTGAGCAAAGCAATCAGCCGGATGTCACGACACGATTTGATTGTTTATCGAGAAAAATAAACACATTTAAGGCTCGACATTGCTTGCTTCTGGCTCCAACGATGTTCCACAAGGATACAAACCTGCGCTTGACCAAGAGAGAGGCACATCCTTTGCACACGGGCTAGCAGCAAAATCTGCGACATGCCCTTTCCCCGTTGCGAAGCATTGTTGCAAGTGGTGCCTGCTGACTTGTCGAATCTATGTTTCTAGCTTCATGCTTCTCAATTGGTCTTGCGCACGTGAGCCGAAGGGAGCCGAAGGGAGCCGAACGCCGGTTACTGGATGCCAAGCAAGGTCAGCCTCAAAACTGGGTAAGAAGAAACAGGTTCAGCTGGTTTTGCCCGGGACCTTCATTTTGTAAGCAGGAAAACAGCCAGCTGGCAGCAAGCAAGGTCAGCCCCAAAACACGCAAAGAAGAAGCAGCTTCAGCTGGTTTTGCCCGGGACCCTGTTGGGCTGTAAGCACTAAACAAAAGCTGGCAGCAAGCAAGGTCAGCCCCAAAACTCGCAAAGAAGAAGCAGCTTCAGTTGGTTTTGCCCGGGACAAAACAGGGAGAGAAGCGAGAGACACGACCCCGGGAGGCAAGCGAAGACACGACCCCGGAGCCGGCGTCACAGCATCTGACGGGGAGACACAGGCAGACAAGCGAGAGACTGGGAGACACAGGGAGACAAGCGGGAGACCAGAGCCGGCGTCACAGCATCTGACTGGGAGACACAGGGAGGCAAGCGAGGGACTGGGAGACACAGCGAGACAAGTAGGAGACACGCATCTGACTGGGAGACACAGGGAGACAAGCGAGAGACTGGGAGACACAGGGAGACAAGCGGGAGACACAACCCCGGAGCCGGCGTCACAGCATCTGACTGGGAGCAAGCGTGAGACTGGGAGACACAGGGAGACAAGCGGGAGACACAACCCCGGAGCCGGCGTCACAGCATCTGACTGGGAGACACAGGGAGACAAGCGAGCGACCCCGGAGCCGGCGTCACAGCATCTGACTGGGAGCCTGGGAGACACAAAAAGACAGGCGAGAGACTGGGAGACACAGGGAGACAAGCGGGAGACACGACCGCGGAGCCGGCGTCACAGCATCTGGCATCTGACCGGAGAGACTGGGAGACAGGAAGACAAGCGGGAAAAATGATCCCGGAGCCGGCGTCACACTTTCCCATTCTCTATACCTCAAGTTAGAACCCCAATGCTTCGCTGTTTGGGGAAAAAAGGGAAACAAAGAAAACACACACACACACACAAAAAAAAAACATCGCCGTCTCCTGAATCCTCTTGGTGAAGGTCCGGTCGCTATACACCGCTCCCAAAGAATTGTCGAACCAGGCCTTCACCTGGCGAACTGATCGAATTTGAGCCCAAGAAGCCGCGAGTTTTGTGCCCATTGAAATAGAAGGCGTGTTGCTTCTTCCCTTCTTCCCCCCGAAAAGAAGTAATGGATTGCCTCAGTGAATGAGCTACGGTAGGTAACCAACCATGTTTCTCTTGTGCTTTGTAAAGATTGTTTCCCTTGGTTAACTACTACAGGAAAATGGAATCACAGAACCCAAAGGATCCTCCGGCAGCGCTTCGCCACTTGCTGGTTTTCAAGAAATCGATTCAGAAGGTTTGGGAATGAACCGGAAGGGCATCCCCCGAAACCGACTCATACGGGTCAATCCGTCCTTGCCTGAGCGCCAGCCTGACTTATCTACGGTAAAGGTGTGTGGAATTACTGGGAGCAAAGTACTGAAAGGAACCCTCAAAGGGGGTCGATATCCCAAAGGGTGCATATTTTTCCTGGAGACTGTTTCCCTTTCTGTCTCAAGTTTTGCTCCTGGGAAAGTTCCAGATGTTCGACAGCAAAGTGCCGCACAGCTGTCGTAAGCAACACAGGCGATGTATTGTTCACAGGCCACCGGACTGACCAGAGGATTATCTTCAGCAAATAAGAGCAACAGAACTTCAAACCATGAACCCGAATGGGCTTCCACCAGTTTCGGGATATACTCAGAATGTGTCCTGCCTTCAAATAATCAGCCCTCCCCCAATTTCACTCCCCCCCTCCGCCAACCTTTGCTGTTTCCCAACAGCCAACTATGAAATCCCAAACTGTGATTCTCGCTGACTACTCGGTCCCCTCATAGCATGTTGCTCTACAAACCCGCATTTTCTACGGCCGTGCAACCGGGGTCGGGGGGCCGCCTAAGGCCTTGAGCTTCTCTCTCGTCCTATCCGCTGTGATCCGACCCAGGCGTTCCCCCCTGCTCGGGAGAGTGACCCAAGGACCTGGAAGCCAAAGGTGATCACCTATTGGGGCCTAGGCTCAAAACGGACCACGCGAAAACCGAAAGCTCGAAGGGTGCCTTGGTGGAGCGTCTTCGGCCAAGCAACTGAATCTGAACTAATCAGGGTAGCGGTTGCCCAGTCAGGGACCTTCGTTTCGTGGGTGGAAACGCTCGTTTTGCCCCTGCGCCATTGAGCTCGGCAGATTCGTTGCCTATATGAACAGGAGCTGTGTTCCCCCTTTCCTCCAAAAAGAAGTGATGGATTTCCTCTATGGGAGCCCCTTCATCAAACCAAACACTTGCCATGATCCTCCCAAGTGGACACCTGCCACTGGTACTCAGGTCGTCCCGTACCTCACGGCCCTTGGATGCCAAAGTCCTTGCCTCCGCCTTCCACATTTCCAGAAGCAAATGGACCGCGTCCTTGTCCTTGTCATTCTCTTCCTCGTCCCACTCCTGGAGAAAAACCGAGCCGTTCGGAAGCGAAATCCACTGCCATATGATTTGAACACTGAAACTGGCTCCAACTATGGGTGTGCATTTTTGAGGGAACCCTCTAGGAGTGGTGTAAAAGGGAAACCAAATGGAACGCCACCTTTTTTGGGGTCCCCCAAAAAGAAAGCAATCATCCTACACACACACACACACACGTCATACGGGGGCCTCGTGATTTTCCGGTGAACCCTAAAGACGACCCTAAGGAGGCTGTGTTACAGGAAGTTTACCAGGGGTCAAGCGGCGCCAAGAACATCAATTTCTGTTCAAGGGACTCCGCATGCCATGTTTTCTTGGAGGAACCATAGCCAAATCAAGGCGTTTGTCAGTTTCTTGGGCGGGCTCAGCTTTTGGCGGTTTGCCTAGCGCGGCTGTCGGGACTTGAGACTGAAGAGCCCCGTCGTCTCCCAAATGGCAAAGCACCCTAGGCCCTTGTCTGTTCCAGCCCAAACCCTTTGGGGGGTGATGATGGCAGTAAAGCAGATTAAATTCACATAGATTTCAGCTGCAAGGGCATAAACCTTGGGATTGTGCTGCGATTGGTTGGTAGCGAGTCGTGAAGCTTCTGGTTGTTGTGACCTGCTTTCATATGTGGAAGCCGCGGGGTCGCATTTGCAGCCTTGGAAGGCTTTAGGCTACACTCCATACCCTCCTGTTCGCGACATGCTGAATTGCCACTGGCCATGGCCAGGAGAAACACTCCTGACAAAGAGTCAACCAAACTGGTTGGCCAAAGGCCAAGAGCTCGGTTTTTGGCAAGTGAGTCGCAAATATAAAAAAGCGCCCGCACAAACTCCTAGCAAAATGACTGACCGCCTGGTGCATCCAGGCAAGCCCCTGCCAACCAAAGTGGCTTGCCACATCTTGGATTCACTCTGCAATAATTTCAGATCATGTTCAAACCTGTTATTTATGGAATCCCCGAGGAACCTTCAAAGCAGAAAACGCTCGCTTTACCCCCGGATCGGTGAGCTTGGAATATGTTGCCCAGATTCACTTGGACCCGAGAAAAAAATGGATTGGCAAAAGAAACAAGTCCAAGCTTTGTGATTGCCACTGACTCAAACCAAAAACTGGACTAAAGCCCACAAAAAAATTGACTAAAGTCCAGTGGTACCAGGAACCAAACAACCTTCGGCTTAGCCCCTTCGGCAGTCCTTGAATACCGAAACGGAGCTTGTTCTTTCAACCAACTTTGCCCAGTGCTTTGCTCACTTCCCGAGTTGATTAGCCAAAAAACAACCATATTTGTAGTTTGCCACTAAAATGGTCCCAAAAGTTTAAAGTCCAGGAATTCCCAGTTTCCCTTTGCTTCCCTTGGTTCTCAAGTCACGGACACAAATCGCGAAATGGCAAAGCCGCGCGCGATTTGGTTTTTTGCTTCTCACAGCTCGGAGCTCGTCAGCTTGGCTTCGGCCCGCATCGATGCCTCGCTTTTCCGCAAAAGCGGTGAGGCAAAACGGGCACCCGGTCCGGTCCAAACAAAATCCACTGAGATTGAAGGCAAAACGCAAAAATTATGGGTGCCAATCGGGTGCATTTCTTGTTGAGGGTACCCCTCTCACATTATTCGAAAGGAAACCAAACGGAAACACAACCACTGGTTGGGTCCCGTCATGTTGACCTCCCAGACCGGGTTTCTATATTTCACCTGAAAATGTTGCCAAGGAAGACTCGCCTCAAAATAGCCAAAAAGGCGATGACCTCAGCCCAATATATGACCTGTACCGGCCCAAGGGCTTCGAAGGTTCACCGGAATGCATCCCAGACCTCCAGTGGGAAAAAACGGATAGCACTGCTGTGTCGGTCGATTTTTCAAGCATCAAACACTGGGTACTTTTGTTAGCGAGCAACTCCTGGCCACCCAACAGGTTGGTCACCCCGTTAAAACAACCTACCTTGAGGAACCCCTTCAAATTGGCTCAGAATGATGTCCAACACAGGCAAAACGCAAACATGGGAGCCAGCAAGTTTCGTAATCCAGCTTGTTTGTGGCTCTGGTATTTAGATATGCAAAAACAGAATCGCCAACAACTCAGCAACATATTTGAGAGCCCGGCTTGCCGCATCTTTTTGGCCAAATTTGGCGGAAGGTCCTCCATGGCAGGCAAAGGTCGGCTTCGGAACGAGAGCGAAGCGGGACTCACAGAACGGAACACCAAACACAGCTGCGATGACTTTCTCTTGTGTTTGCTGTTTGTACATCTTCTCATTTCGGTTGGGACCCAGTTTTCTCATTTCTTTCATTTGGTGTTGGGTCTTCTTCTCTTTGGGGGGGGCTGCAACTTGCAAAACCCGACCCGAGGTTATGTTCACCGAACTCTATTTTTGCACCCTTTCAGACTTGTTATGTAGACGGAACCCATGTCTTTGAAGTTGAACCTGCATGGATGCTCCGTGTTTTGTTTACCCCCGCCCCACCTACCTAATTCGATTCAGAACGAGTCTTCCTCTATGTAGTTTAACCTCTCTAGATGCCTCTCTCCGCTTTTGGAGCACCCCCCCCCATCCTGCCTTTTGGACCCACAAATTGAACGTATGCACAAAACATGCATATCAAGTAGAAGACCTTACCGGAGGTCTGCTTGAGCGCTTACATCCCAAAAGCGAAGAAGCTTCTCCACCGTGCCGATCCAGAACTGAAATTCGCTTGCAGCAAACATGATATACCCCGAAGTGCGGGCTTTGGAGTAGGGAAGCCTAGGTTATCCCCCTGAGACTGCCCATAGCAAGTGAATAAACGGGGCTCTGGGCAAATTGCTAACTACCATTCCCAAACTGCATTTTTTTTGGCATGGTCACAAAGGAACTACACCGCTTTGTTGTAGCTAGTTTCCAACCCACGTCCAGAGAGGGTCGTAGGTCCTCCAGATTCTCAATGGTCCCGAAGAGCTGAAACTTCCGCCACTCCTACGTCGCGGACTCGTCCGCTTCCCGGGTAACCCGAGAAGAAGCGTGGGGACAAGTTGGAACCTACCCTCCCCAAGAACACCAAGCAACTGCACAGAAGCAGGTTCCGAAACCAATTTCCTAAGACCCAATTCCTGCAAGTTCCATGCTTGTTTTGGGAGGGGACATTGCGGTGAAAGAAATGGGTGAACTGTGCCATCTAGTCTCACCCAACTATAATTCACGGCTGTCTCACTTCCGCGCATGGATCAAGCACGCCCCTCTGCTTCTAAAGATGCTTGCAACACATCAAAAGTCCAGAAACTGGGACAGTGAGGTCATAATCAACCAAGATGTGAATCACCCTGCCCCTCCCACAATCAACGGTCTGAAAGGTTTGGGATTGAACAACTACCCCCCGCCCTCGATTGTCGCAACATATTATGCATCTATATGTGAGTATATGTGTGTAGGTGCCCCGTTCATCCCCTGTGAGACTGGCGCAGCAACTGGAAACCACTCATTTGGGGGGCGTCTCACCCGTTTTTGCAAGACAAACAATTCAGACACCTCGCCAAGGGCCCAATCAGGCGCGCGCCTTGGGCGTGGCTTTCACCGCCCGATGGGTCACATCAGACCTCCGAAATGGGCTCGTCCCGTGGAAAAGCCGGGCCCCGGGCCCCAAAGATCCAAGGCTTGTCCCTCATTTGCCCTGGATGCGGCGCAGAAGTAAGAGGTGATCATGTCTTGTGGCCACCAAACATGGTGGCCGAAATTCTGCGGGTGGACCAAATCCTGCACTTGGGATAGAAAACCCTATAAATACTGGTTGATACATCACCTACGGTGCGAAATGAATTTTGTCCATCCACAGTAGGAAAACAGCTTAAAAAGCCAGATCGGAAGGTTGATTCGCTCGACTGTGCAAGCGGGTGGAGGCCATGGTTGGCACCCCCTCATTGCCAAGCTGGAGCCTCTTTAGCAAGTAGGTGGGGTTGGGGGTCTCGGTTGCCTGGATTGGCTCAGCATTGCCAATTCCAATTTAGTATTGCGGAGAATTCGCATTGTTTGGGCGAAACAAACTTTATAATGCTTCATGACCACCAACCAGTCCCAAATCCTGAATTAGATAAACAACTTTCAAAAGTAGACGCCCCGTATTTCAAAAGCGGTCTACCATTAGCCTCAGTCGGCAGGTTGTTTGGCCCAAATGGGCTTTTTCAGCCCAGCTGTTTAGAGGGAGTGACTTTGGGGAGTGGGTTTGTCCCCAAAGCAAACGCTGAGCTGCAAACCCCATGTATAAACACACATATCCAAAGGGTCGACCAGGGTAGGGTATGTGTCAAACTAGCGACACCCCAAAATAGCGGATGTCCTTGAGGTTTCCCGGTAAACCTACCTGCCAATGACCAGGGTCAACGTGCTGTACAAAACACAGTGGCTGTGGGACACTGGTGGGAAAAGGGCACATTATGGCACATTTCTGTGGCACTGAAGACCACAATTCCTTTTGACAAGTTGTTCACTCCCCCTGGCGCCATTAGAAAAAGGAGCCCTTGTTGGTACCATGTCTAGGGGGGCGTCGACCCAACCTTTTGAAGGGTGCCACGGAGCCACTGGGTGAAATTGACCTTCCCTTGGTTTCAGAGGCCCATGCGGCGGCCAACCCCAAATGAGCAGGTCTTTCGACCACCCCCTGCAATGAGGGAACGAGTATCCAACCCACCTCAAAAAAGACAGCCTTTGCCGTTGAGCACCCCGAACAAAACACCCGTGTGATAATTTCCCTAAAGCGACCAAGGAGACGGGTCATTCTGGAGTCTCCATGACGCTTTCCACATGCGCTAAGCAGCATGAAATGGTCATGACCCCACTTGAGGGTGCACTAATTGACCTGAACAACAAAAGCAGCGTCCCCCAACAGGACTTTCACTCTAAAAACAATGGTTTCTGGCTCCATAGCTGTTTAAAGTGCTTTCGTTCCCTCTCGTTCGCTACACTCACCACCTGCCCACCCAAAAGGAAGCGCTGCTTCGCCCCAATTTTGGGCCCCGGGCCAAAAGGCGAAGCCC